ATGGTAGATGATTAAACTGCGTTGAAGTTTAACAGGAGCTCTCAGATGTGATAATAATAATTTCACACAATATGTGCGTTTGTATGATCAATTCATCACAGCATTAATTAATGCTTCAATGAGCCTGCGAACGACATGCAAAACTTTCTATTTCTCTATACAATACTTTATAAATATTCGAATATGAATTAAATCAAATAGTTTATTTTTTAACTATTGTGATGGTAAGATCAAGGTCTTTTGAACGAAGAGGGTTGTGACTACTTCACACCAGCCGACGACCAGCAAGTTGTGCGTGGTACCACGTTTGTGGCGGTTTGTGTTTCTTGGGAAGCTGAGAAACGAACCAGTCTGTGCTGACGTGGTTTTGTTTCTAAACAAGAATTCCTCCTTCGTTGCTATGGGTTGCATGCCACGGACCTCCCGTATATTGTTCTTCAGTAATTTACTTACCAGGTACTACAAGAAATCATTGACTCAAGACGCTGCAGCCATGTATGTCCACGGGATGTAAACCCAACGTCAGACAATCATTCTTTTGAACAAAAAGTTAAATGGAAATTCAATTAACTTAACATGATTTATTGCCATAAAAGCCGTTGTCGGTGTCCTGCTTTAGACTTCCCGTCTTTTCCCAAGAGATACTTCACTTATGAGCAGGTGCTTCCAATCATTCTGAACCGGTTGTAGTCTCATGCATTCTGTAACGGAATCTTATGCAGATTATCGAGATAGAGTGTTAACTTTACCGTTGGTTTGACGGAAGATTTACCTATCTCGTCCGATACATGGAGAGGAATAGAAGCGTCGAATGTACCCGACAAAGTTCAAATATGACAAATTTCCCTGGATATACAGTAAACCAAGAGAATAAGGAATACAGAATTCATAGGGACGTAACTCTTTGGGAAATGCTTCAGAATCTAGAAAAATATACTTCCTGTCTTTAGTATACAAAAAATGGTAAATGTGTGTTAAGTAAAGCTAAGGATTTTTTAAGTACAGGAGAATGATACCAGATGTTCCGGAAGGGTTAGTGTCGTCTGCTTCATTGATGACAATCTCTATGTAAATATTGGCCAATCTAAGTAAGAAGGGCCACATTCACCAATGAGAAGTCGTTAATAAAATAAGCAATGACACTACTTCCCGTGGGAGGTTTTACATGGTTTACCCAATGACCGTAGGCGTTCGTTGAAATGTGTCTAAAGAGCTTATTTTAGTGTCCTTGGCTTATATCTATCGCGTTGTTGCCCTTTACCTGGCGCCTTGTTGCACTACATTTGGTGTGTTACAACTGTATATCCAGACCCTTGTTGCCGTATAATTGACTTCTTATTGCTCTATACCAAGCACTTTGTTGCACTATATTTGGCCAGTCATTACTGTATACCCGGCATCTTGTTGTACTATATTTGTCCTGTCATTATTGTATACCCTGTTTCGTGTTGCCGTATACTTGTCCGCCTGTAACCCTATACCAAGCACTTTGTTGCACTATATTTGGCCAGTCATGACCGTATACCTGGTATCTTGTTGCCCCGTATGTGCCCTATTGTTACCTTTTACCCGGCCCCTTGTTGGACTGTATTTGGTTTGTAATTACCTTGTACCTTGTTTATTGTTGCCCTGTACATCTCCTCTTGTTGCCCTGTACCCGGCACCCTGTTTCACTATACTTGGCCTGTCATTATCGTATACCTTGTTCCTTGTTGCCCTGTACCCGGCACCCTGTTTCACTATACTTGGCCTGTCATTATCGTATACCTTGTTCCTTGTTGCCCTGTACCTGTCTTCATGTTGCCCTGTACCCGGCACCCTGTTTCACTATACTTGGCCTGTCATTATCGTATACCTTGTTCCTTGTTGCCCTGTACCCGGCACCCTGTTTCACTATACTTGGCCTGTCATTATCGTATACCTTGTTCCTTGTTGCCCTGTACCCGGCACCCTGTTTCACTATACTTGGCCTGTCATTATCGTATACCTTGTTCCTTGTTGCCCTGTACCTGTCCTCCGGTAGCTCTATACCCGGCCCCATGTTGCTCTATACTTGGACTGGCATTAACCTGTTTCGTGTTGTTCTATAAGTGACCTCTTTTTTCCCCTATACTTTCATGTTGGGGGAGTTCAGATCGATTGAGATCGTCAATATTATTGCTAATCTTATGTCTACCCTTCCTCCCATATGTTCCAATGTTAGAAGATCCAGGAGCATCCATACTTTTGAGTTTGATAGAAGAAAAAAAAATGATTAGTATATGTCTGTCTACCCATAGGCAGACTGTTTTCATGCAAGGACCGAACCAGACAAAATCTTCCATTTTACATTGAATTTTCAAGAAAATCTACAATGTCATTGTATGAACATAACTTGAAGCCAGTCGCTTGCTTCAATAAAACTTTACTTATGATATAACTAATTGTAACATAATAGCAGATGTCCCTATTTTCATTTCTCTTGTCATGAATTTTCAATTCCATGTATTGCATGCCAAGCAAGACATTGCCAGTATTATCAAATAAGTCACACAAGTTCTTGTCACTAGGTGTATCAAAGACGTCCGTCCAAATTTTGTCAAAGATGCGTGTTAAATATGACAAGGAATATCTTCTCAATGGTGTGTATCAAAAATATCAAGTCATTGTCAATGGTGTTTGTCAAATGTCAAACAAGACCTTGTCAATAGTGTGTGTTAATATGTAAACAAGACCTTGTCAGTGATGTGTGTCAAATAAAGAATGTTTTTACAATGGTAAGCATCAAATATGTCAAGGAATATTTTTTCATTGGTTTGTACCAAACATTCCAGAATGACCTTGTCAATGATTGTGTCCAATGTGTCAAATAAGATCCTGTCAATGGTGTGTGTCAATCATGTCAAGCAAGACTTTGTCAATGTTGTGTCTGATATGTCAAGAAAGACCATGTCAATGGCATGATATAATGTGTATTTAGCCTTATCTTGTCAATAACGGTTAATTAACTGTAATTTGAAACCAACAATATCAAGTAAAAGTACTTGAATAAAAACAAAGATAATGTTTTGACACATTTAATAATTTATTGTAGACTTTTTATGGTACATTGCTGTCAACAGATATATGAATATTTTTTTTTACAAATATAATAAAACTTTGTTGTGGCATAGAGACAGAGGTTTTGACCTGATGCAGTGTAAACCTGTGTGTAGATTTTATATAGAAATGTTTCTACAACATCTGTGACAATATGAAGATATCCCTATTTCTAAAAACAGTAAACTCATTAATGTTAAACATATTCAAAATGTGTTAAGTAATAAACAAACAGAGAAAACCAGAAGCTTTTTTTTGTATAAATTATTATCAATTTCACAAAGTGGAAAATAGTTTTGTACTAGAAGCTTGCATCCCATTTCTGTAATACAACAAAAAGAAAGATATAAAAAAGATTATTTATTTGAGTAGAAGGTGGAATGAAATTGAACATCCTACAAAAATATAATTTGACGATGCAAAAATCTTCTTCCACATAAAGATACATTGACAACATGTAGGTGACAACAGTGACGAGACATGTATACGGGGCAGGACGGACATTACGTAAGGGCCACTTGTGATCGGTTTGAACCAGTGGAAGGACGGATTGATCTCGGACAATTAACTGTGTATCATCAACTTTGGATATACATTGGAATAAAAACTGAGACGTTTTTAATTATGGTCAACAAACCATTTTGATATCTATTATATCTAAAATGTAAAGAACAGATTTCCAGCAATACATTTAGTTAAAAGAAGTATTCAATGCCTTAAATATATTCCACGGATTATATCATCATCAATATATAATTTAAAATGTAAAATGAATAAAAGTAATTATTATGTCAGTCAGCTAAAAGAAGAAGTAACACTTGAGGTGTAAAAATAACACAGCACTTGTAATATGCATTTATTCTATATAATACATATTTATGCATATCTTAAATAGCAGTAAAAAGGAATGTTGATACATAAGCCATATCTACAATAGCAGTCAAAAGGATTGTTTATACATAAGCCATATGAAGGTGAAGTCAATAGAATTACCAAAAGCCTCACAACAGTCAGTTTATCAGCTATAGGACACAATCTACACCTGGGCTAGAATTCACTGTTGTATGATACAACTGATATGTTTTTTATTGGTAGGGCATTTTCATGCTTGATTTGGTCAAGTGAACAAAACATTTCTTTAATATATTAAACATTCATATGTACAGTGAATTTATTAAACTGCACTTTGTGCGTTTATCACAGATATGCATATAATACATATATTTAAATATCATTTGTTTTCAAACAACTGCTGCAGTTTCTTATCTAAGGTATAGGGTAACACTACCCAAAAGTTGTCAATCAGCATATACAGGTAGATGTAGGCTCAGTGTGCACAGAGAGATGTACAGTCAGTGTACACAGAGAGATGTACAGTCAGTGTACACAGTGAGATGTACAGTCTGTGTACACAGGGAAATGTACAGTCTGTGTACACAGAGATGTACAGTAATGTACACAGAGAAATGTACAGTCTGTGTACACAGAGAGATGTACAGTCAATGTACACAGCGAGATGTACAGTAAATGTACACAGAGAAATGTACAGTCAGTATACACAGTGAGATGTACAGTCAGTGTACACAGCGAGATGTACAGTAAATGTACACAGAGAAATTTACAGTCAGTGTACACAGTGAGATTTACAGTCTGTGTACGCAGAGAGATGTACAGTCAGTGTACGCAGCGAGATGTACAGTCAGTGTACAAAGTACAACAAGATGTACTATTAATGTCCACAGAGAGATGTACAGTCAGTGTACACAATATAATCTGATTGAAAGATCAATAAAGAAAGACACACAACAGCTGAATGAAATCCCTTTTTCTTTGATAAGTTAGTTAAGATAGCAACATTTTCAAATGCTACTTGAAATGAAAGACCTCATAGTACATTTGTTTATCCTATTTTGATGTCCTCATCATTTCTTCTTTTTACCACCCCCTGGACTTTTTGCTCCTTTTGCACTCTTGTTTCTACCCTTTGGTGATTTTGAGGTGACCTCTGCTGCCATTGCAGCCTCCTTCTCAGCCTCAGCTTCCTGTTTCCTGCGTTCTTCATCAAGGAACTTTTGTCGGAAAGCCTCTCTAGGTTTATTTATTCCTTCCCTGGCAGAGTCCAACATGGCCTGTACAACAGAGAAATAAGTGTGTCCTAGTATGAAACACAATGACAGCCTACACAGATAGTATACAACGTTAGACCTGATGATAATAAATATATTGTCAGTATCAACATTTCTTTGTAGTACTTTTTATGTAGTAATTTACAGGCAAATATAAGCTGTTTTCTTTATCTGGAAAACTGAAGGGAAAAAATGGAAAAATAAACATGGTTTTTCATTTTTTCCTTTGTAAGTATATTAAAGGTAAAATTATACATTATAGATACTGCATGTCTTTCTGTATTCTGTTTGTTTAATACAACATTCATTCAAATTTATATTTTGATTTATTTTTCCATAAACACCTGTTGTCTATTGTATATAAAGTAATTTTTCAGAAGTTCCTCTTTAAAGTGTGTTACATATCCAATATTTCATATTTCAATTCTGTGTTCAGGATCAGCATAAACTGAAACTATATCGTCATGGCTTTGAAGAACAATGAAATACATTAACAATGAGCTCCATTGAGATATAGCTTGACTAAGGAATTATTTCAGCACGACTTTTATCTTAACAATAAAACAATTTTCTTTTCAGAAAAAAATGCATGCTGTCTCTTTATGATAAAGTTCTTTAAATTTATTTGATACATTAAAATGATTCTCAGAGGAACACATTGTACATATGTATTAACATTAATGAATGTACACATGCTGCTACGCTACTGTGAAGTACAGAAGCCCAGAGTAACAAAAGTATAACTGTTATCAACATGTGTACATTACAATAACAGAAGCCTGCTAGACAAAATGTGAAACATGCTGTATATCTACTCATGTAAATACAGTGGCATGTGAATCTGTAAAACAAAACATAAAAAGATGTTAGTAAAACGTGAAGGAGTTGTTAAAGGGGAGGCACTCAAACAGACCAAGGACACAATTTATCAGAATCCTAATGGTAACTTTATAACCTGGTTATACTTTCTTTTGATGTGATAAAAAAACATGAATATGTACATATTATCATGTTGTTATACCATATTCACCAGTAAATCATGTAATTAAAAAAAAAACAAAAAAATAAAAAACATCAAACACTGAAATGTAAAATAACTTTCCAATGCCCAAATTAAAACATGATTAACACATCCACCAAAAATGAAAACTATCCAGTCTCAAAACGCCCGAAATTTGAATTCACACAAACTCTCACCATATCTAAATCTACAAGCAAACTACACTAAGTCTGATGAGAGATACTTAAGATTATCTCTGTTAGACCTGGTTTCATGTCCGCTATAATATCATACACAAACTAACAATTTCTACTTGGCAGACAATTTGCTGCGTTTTCTCTGTATAATAAATTTCTGTCGATATTGTTCACGAGCAAGTTGAAAGGCATCTCTTTCATCGTCAAGACATTCCTAGAATGGAAAAGGAGTAAAAAACAAGGAAGAGATTATTTGAAGAAAAGCACAGCACACAGAATCTAAACAGAACTAAAGCAAGTTCCTGCTATCATGAAAAATTTCTAATGACAAAACAAAGTTTTCAATTACCAAACCCAAGACCTGAGATAAATATCTGCATAATAGTGTTTCTACCAATCTGTTTTAGATTCAACATTCCAAAGTATATTTGCAGTAAACATTTCTTTATCATTATAGACACAAATTTTTCTAACCATGATTGTGGTTAGATATATTCACAGAAATAGCACTGATATACATGTTTGAAATATTGATAAGCAAGTAACAATAAAAAAAGACTTTAGATTAAGATAACTTACTGCTATGTTTACAGTGACCCTGACAGACTACAGTTAAAGAGTCGATCCAGATCTAAGTGAATTGTAAAAAGTAGTGTACAAAACAAGTGTTCTTATTTGACAGCTGTGTAAGCCTGTGTTCTCCCTCGACTTCTTTAAGTCACTGGCTAGGAACCCAAACTAACGTGACTCCATCCTTTGAATTCTTTTAAGTCATTGGCTAGAAATCCAAACTAACGTGACTCCATCCTCTGAATTATTTAAAGTCACTCGCTAGAACTCCAAACTAACGTGACTCCATCCCTCAACTTCTTTTAGTCACTAGCTAGAAACCCAAATCAACAAGACTCTATCCTGTGACTTTTGTAAGTCACAAGCTAGAAATCCTAACTACTGTGAATATGGTTGTTTCTTAAGGGGCTCAATTTTTGCAATTTAGACAGGCATACATAGGTGGGGGTTATTTATACAATCAGTGGACCTACCGGTATATGTACATAATGCGTCACAAATTAATGCATGTGGGTAAAATTTATTCAGCCGAATGACTTTTGTGTATTTAGTGTAAATTTTCCACATGCATACTTTTCCATGTATACAGAAACAAGACCGATCTCTTGACTTTAGTAAGTCACTAGCTAGAAATCCACACATCCAAGGCCTAATCTAACTACATAAACTATTTACTAGGATGAATAATCAGCACAATTAACTTCAGTGATTTTATATTTTGCACTAGAAACATTTCTTGTCTGAAAATAAATCTGCAAGCTGTAGATTAATAACCAGAATTATAGGACACATATATAAAAACAGCAAATTAAAGAATAAAATACACGATATCATGGCAAAAAAGAACTATTTCTAGCTATTAAATAAATAAGTTGTTCCTCTCACAGCAAACAGGCAGTGTACCTAGCTTTAAAACTCAAGTGATTGTTATTAAGGGTATTTCATGAGAAGATAAAAGTCTAGAGGATCAAGGATTGTGTGGAGAATAAAGAACACCTAGTAGACATGTTATAACGACCACACCCACCTGTAGGTCCTCACACTGCTCCAGCTGTTTGATCTTGATGTTGTTCCTCATCAGTTTATCTTGTTCCCTCCAATTCTTCACTTGTTCCCTGAAGGCCTTGTACTCTTCCACCTGTCGTTTGTTCTCTTCCTCTCGCCGCTGGATCTCATCTTCATCCAGGTATCGTGGCTCTCCATTCGCCTTCCTGTAAAATATTTTCTTCTGTTTAGAAACTTGTTGCCATAATGACACTAAATCTTCCTGAGAATATTATAGCGTACATCGTTCTGAGGAACAGGGAAGGAATGTCTGTTCGGGGTTTGTTTGGGTATAGGGGAAGATTACCCAGGTACATACTGACCTGAGGAATTGAGTGACATCCCACAGAAGGAATGTCTGTTTGGGTTTGTTTGGGTATAGGGGAAGGTTACCCAGGTATAAACTGACCTGAGGAAGGGAGTGATATCCAAAGGAGGAAGGATCTCTTTGGGTGTGGGTGGTGGTGGTGGCTCCAGGGTGAGAATCTCCTCCTTGTCTTCATGCATAGAGAGAGGGGTCTGAGGGGGTGGGATCTCTGCCTCTGACTCGGGTTTTTCTTCACCTTCCTTCACCTCTTCTTCATCCTTGTCTGGGTGAAGTTTGATCAGGTGAGTGTTTAGGTACTTGAGGCGAGACTGGAGAGCCTGAAATGGTCAATGGGAGCATATGTAATTCTGCTTTAAATCTACAATTTACATGCTTTCCATTTTCTTCTAAGATGCATTTCTATACAATTTCAATCTTTATTTTTTGTAAACTCAGTTATTACAGAACAGCCCAACAAAAATCAATCCATACCTTGGCAGCTCGGCCTGGCTCAGCATTCTCCCATGCTTTCTTCATGGCTCGTATCTCATCAGCACGCTCTGTGTCCTTTTTCACCTCAATGTCCTCCTGGTAACACAAATCCAAACATTACTGAGATCAGTTGGTATGTATATTTTAAGTTAAGTAAACTCTGAACCTGGTTGTAGTATATATTGGCTAGTTGTATAATTTTTCTGGTTATGAATTGTCAAGGTACACCTGCTCCTATCCTTGATACAAATACTTTATATGGTTTGTCTAAAACACAATTGCATGTCAGGTACATGGTTTTGTACCATTCCGTCTGCCTGATTACATGGTTGGTGTACCATTTACCTCATTAAATAGTTTTGTACCATTCCGTCTGCCTGATTACACGGTTGGTGTACCATTTACCTCATTAAATAGTTTTGTACCATTCCGTCTGCCTGATTACATGGTTGGTGTACCATTTACCTCATTAAATAGTTTTGTACCATTCCGTCTGCCTGATTACATGGTTGGTGTACCATTTACCTCATTAAACAGTTTTGTACCATTCCGTCTGCCTGATTACATGGTTGGTGTACCATCTACCTCATTAAATAGTTTTGTACCATTCCGTCTGCCTGATTACATGGTTGGTGTACCATTTACCTCATTAAATAGTTTTGTACCATTCCGTCTGCCTGATTACATGGTTGGTGTACCATCTACCTCATTAAATAGTTTTGTACCATTCCGTCTGCCTGATTACATGGTTGGTGTACCATTTACCTCATTAAATAGTTTTGTACCATCCCATCTGCCTGGTCACATGGTTTATGTACCATCTACCTCATTAAATAGTTTTGTACCATTCCGTCTGCCTGATTACATGGTTGGTGTACCATTTACCTCATTAAATAGTTTTGTACCATTCCGTCTGCCTGATCACATGGTTTATGTACCATCTACCTCATTAAATAGTTTTGTACCATTCCGTCTGCCTGATTACATGGTTGGTGTACCATCTACCTCATTAAATAGTTTTGTACCATTCCGTCTGCCTGATTACATGGTTGGTGTACCATTTACCTCATTAAATAGTTTTGTACCATTCCGTCTGCCTGATTACATGGTTGGTGTACCATCTACCTCATTAAATAGTTTTGTACCATTCCGTCTGCCTGATTACATGGTTGGTGTACCATTTACCTCATTAAATAGTTTTGTACCATCCCATCTGCCTGGTCACATGGTTTATGTACCATCTACCTCATTAAATAGTTTTGTACCATCCTATCTGCCTGATTACATGGTTTATGTACCATCTACCTCATTAAATAGTTTTGTACCATCCTATCTGCCTGATTACATGGTTTATGTACCATCTTCCTCATTAAATAGTTTTGTACCATCCTATCTGCCTGATTACATGGCTATACCATGTATAGGAACTAATTACCCATAAAATAAGTCTGCATTCAGATAAAATACCACACTGTATGTCCTATACTTACAAAAGAGCTGGCATCGCTGACCACTCGTAGTGTCCAGTGGGGCTTGGTCATGTCAAATGCTTGAGATGGAGGTCTTGATCCCTTCTGATCCTTATCTTTGTCCTTCCCTCCTTTCTTGTCTGTCTTTCCACCTTTCCCTCCCTTCTGGGAGCTACTAGATGTCGCAGGAGCCTTCTCCTGTTTGGGGGGAGATGGTGGCCTGTCTTTATTGGCAACTGGAGATAAAGTACTGGTTTATTAGTTACACAAGTAACACCTGATCATCGTTATCTTCAAAAACAGTTATACATGGAAAGTTTACCTAAAATGTATATTTTTGGATGGAAGCACATATAAGAAAGTGCAAAAAAAACTAAACAGCTGGATTCAACTAGTTACTTATCATTAATATCAAAGGGACAAATAGTAAGATTATGTTACAAAAGTAAAATCATGATCAATACAAGAAGATATCACCAACTTGATACAAAAAGATAAAGTTCTCAAGTTCTACGAAAAACCACAAGACAATCTGAAATAAGATAAACTATATCGTGTGCAAAATTCATATCAAATATAAAAGTAAATGAAAAATAAAACTTTCAACCAAGCCATCAAAAATATCTGCTTACAGAGTTTTAATCCTCCCCAAAATAAACAGATATTTTAGGTAAACTTAAACAGTTATTTGCAATTAAAATGCAACTGAAAAAAAATTGAAAACATATTTCTACAGAAATTTGTTTTTACACACACAAATATAAAAACGATTATGAACTGAACTGGATATGTAAGTCAGAAACTTATGTCTGAGTGATACATGCTGTGGTGATAAATTGTGTTGAGTGCATTGTGATAGGGTACCAACATGTCAGATTACATAGTCCAGTCAAGTTGTGCAACACTTAAGCGTGTCGTGGGCACCCATTGGCCAGTCTTACTAGCCAATCACATCTGTGGAAGTGTTGCTCGATTGATCACACATACACAGACAGTGATCATACTGGATGTGTGATTTTACTTGTAAAGCATGCACCATAACCTCAAGCTTAAAGATAATCCTTCTTCCCAAGTTAAATGTTGATACACTAAACAAATTGATAAATATATACTTGTGTATCTAGGTATATGAATACATGTACATCAGCTAATTAATTCTAATACCTTGTAAAAAAATTAAAAATACAAATCTAAAAACACTTGTATTCTAAATAATATAAAATTAATATTTAGTAGTATAATACATAATATGGGGTATACAGAAATATAACATCTTCTGCTACCTTAAGATAAATCCCCATTGCACTGTGCTCACCAATATTGAGTTAAAGGTCTTTTTTTACCTTCATATAAGACTACAAAACACCTAGTACGATCACTATATGTACAGTCACTTACTGTCTTCATTTGGAGGTGGTTTGAAGCTTACTGATAAAAAACAAATATAATCTAAGTTTTATTGAAGATGCATGCAAGTATTTATTTTTCTTCAAAGAAAACTGACAGAGAAATTATCATCAAATAGCCTGAAGCATGACTCATGTGAATATAAACTTTTATATGACTAGGAAAGTGTGTGAGAAATTATTGATATTTGCTAAAAAGATGCGAAACTGAAAGTTTGAACTAAAACAGTGTTTTCTAATTAAATTAGATGTCTAAAACATTACATGAGCATTATATATCAAATAGTTTTACAAACTACAAGGAATGGAAATAATAATGAGATTATGACCCTTATGTATAAAATATCAGAGCTGACATTTACATACACACAAAAGCTCATAGTATGGCATTTATATACACAAAAGCTCATAGTATGGCATTTATATACACAAAAGCTCATAGTATGGCATTTATATACACAAAAGCTCATAGTATGGCATTTATATACACAAAAGCTCATAGTATGGCATTTATATACACAAAAGCTCATAGTATGGCATTTATATACACAAAAGCTCATAGTATGGCATTTATATACACAAAAGCTCAAAAGCTCATAGTATGGCATTTATATACACAAAAGCTCATAGTATGGCATTTATATACACAAAAGCTCATAGTATGGCATTTATATACACAAAAGCTCATAGTATGTCATTTATATACACAAAAGCTCATAGTATGGCATTTATATACACAAAAGCTCATAGTATGTCATTTATATACACAAAAGCTCATAGTATGGCATTTATATACACAAAAGCTCATAGTATGGCATTTATATACACAAAAGCTCATAGTATGGCATTTATATACACAAAAGCTCATTAAATGTACACACTTAGTCTCACAGTATAATGTGTGTAAACACAAAGTCTCAGGGAAGGACATTTGTGTTCAGTTTTTGAGTATAATGACATACAAAGTCTCAGAACATGGCATTTTTATACATATGTGTACACAAAATGTCTTGGATTGTAATATTTGTGTACAAAAAAGTTCCAGAGTAGGACACTTGTGCACACAAAGTCTAAAAGTATGACATTTGTGTACAAACAGTGTCTCTAGGTATGACATTTGTGTTCAGTTTTTGAGTATAAAGACATACAAAGTTTCAGAACATGGCATTTTTGTATATATGTGTACACAAGAAGAATCATACCAAGACAATTGTATACATACTACGTCTTAGATTATAACATTTGTTTACAAAGTCTCATACATATATAGTATGACTTTTACCAGCATGACGTTGGTTGACTTTACTTTGATATTTTAAGTGGCCATTGAATTTCACTTATCATGTAGGTTAATTCTAGTTTTTAAAGAATGTCCAAAATACAAATTTCTGCTGTCTTTGATAGGGACACCAGATCAGTTGGATGTTGGGACATAAAGAAATAAGATAATCTCAGAACCACGGGGCAGAAGGACAAAACTACGATGTGGGAAAGAAATAAAGGGGTAACATTAAAGTGTAGAAAATTTTTCATATCATGGAAAAAGTGGGGTTATAAGAATTATGTGTCATCTGGGAACTCTATAACATTTAACTGAGTGAGACAATGAAAGGAAGGGTTTCTGATAGAGGGTGAAACCAAAGGACCATGTGACTTATGAGAAGTATTGTAGCTTGATGTGCCTGTAGCTACCTTTGAGCTCATTCTTCTCTATGTCCTTGAGCATCTGTACAAAAATCCAGCTGCTCTCGCTGAGGGGCCAGCTATTACGCATCACTGTTGCTTGGATGATGTATTTATGTGGCTGTAACAAACAAACATATCAATCAGAAACGTTCTCATTACTGCGTAATAAATCAACGAAATTTCTACGTTAAAAAATGTTCATATACTGAATATTACACTATCAACCTCATTGATTTACTAACGAAATACAGGTTATCAAATTCATGCAATTGATATGCAGTAGATTGAAAACAGCAGCATTACCAATATGGAAATAGGTCATGAAATTCAAAGCATCTCCTAACTATTGCATGCACAAAATCGCATTGCTTGCATTTTTTTTTTATATATATATATTTTTGAATTTTTGAATTTTTTACAGCTGTACAAAAAAAAAATCACATTTTCAATATTTAATATTTTCGAATATATATTTATACTCTTATACATGTAACTAAAGCAAGGCAGATTAGTGTTAAGCCTGTGTTAATTCTTTTTGTAATTCAAAATTTCATGAATCATAAATGTCTGGTAATTGCTTTTTCCAAAGTTTTACAACAATTTCATTTTTAGATCAAATCACAACTTGACTACCTTCAAGTCTTTTTCATCAATTTCTCCATCACTCACTCCTGCATCAGAATGCCTGCTTCCCCTCTGGAAAAATGACATGCCACATCACAAAAACATCACCCCATGCAGTCACTAAACTAGTCCAACGTCATGCTTTACAATATGGTGTATATATTTCTTTATATTAATTGTATTTGACTGTTAGATGTAAATTTTCATGCATAACACTTTGACTTCAATGAAGGTATCATTAGTGTTACAAACTGGACATGCGATTATTCTAATATAACATGCATTTAACTAAACATCACACCAAACACTGTGTAAATTACTTTATATGATTTTCAACACTTTGTATATTTAAGAGTACAGCACTCCAGTTACAGTACTAAAGGGTACATTCAGTACACAAGTTACCATGGATGTATTCAGAGGCGCAGAAATTACAGGGTATATTCAGAGGCGCAGGAATTACAGGGTATAATCAGTAACCAGGTTAATTACTAGAGGATATATTGAGTTTCTCAGGCACTAGAGGGTATCCATGGTACTAGTAGGTATATTACTATATTTAGTACCTGATGAACTAGAGGGTGTATTCAGTATCCATGGTACTAGTAGGTATATTACTATATTTAGTACCTGATGAACTAGAGAGTGTATTCAGTATCCATGGTACTAGTAGGTATATTACTATATTTAGTACCTGATGAACTAGAGGGTGTATTCAGTATTCATGGTACTAGTAGGTATATTACTATATTTAGTACCTGATGAACTAGAGGGTGTATTCAGTATCCATGGTATATAGTGGGTATATTACTATATTTAGTACCTGATGAACTAGAGGTGTATTCAGTATCCATGGTACTAGTAGGTATATTACTATATTTAGTATGATGAACATGTATACCATGGTACTAGTAGGTATATTACTATATTTAGTACTATATTGTATTCAGTATTCATGATACTAGATGTATATTACTATATTTAGAAGGTGTGTATTCAGTATCCATGGTACTAGTGGGTATATTACTATATTTAGTATATTACTATATTTCATGATACTAGTAGGTATATTACTATATTTAGTACTAGATGAACTAGAAGGTGTATTCAGTATCCATGGTACTAGTAGGTATATTACTATATTTAGTACCTGATGAACTAGAGGGTGTATTCAGTATCCATGGTACTAGTAGGTATATTACTATATTTAGTACCCCATAAACAAAATGGTAAATTCATTACCCATGTACTAGATTATATATTAAATGTTCCAGGTACTAGAGGATATTTTTAGAATCCTTGGAACTAGTAGAGAGTATATTCAGCATCCAGCGTACTAGAGAGTTTGTTTAGGATCCAGGGTATTTAGGATCCAGCGTACTAGAGAGTTTGTTTAGCGTACTAGAGAGTTTGTTTAGGATCCAGGGTACTAGAGAGTTTATTTAGGATCCAGCGTACTAGAGAGTTTATTTAGGATCCAGCGTACTAGAGAGTTTGTTTAGGATCCAGGGTACTAGAGAGTTTATTTAGGATCCAGGGTACTAGAGAGTTTATTTAGAAGCCCAGGCACCAGGAGGTATATTCTACTACATAGGTACAAGAGGTTATATTCAAAACCCATTTTTTTCAGGATCCCGGGTACAAGTCTAGAGAATATATTCAGCATCTCACATACTAGAGATTAGATTTAAAACTCCAGTGGTCATATTCATAATACAATGTATTACTTAATACACTTGGCAGTGAAGAATTTTCAGGTAGATTCAGCATGCTTCTCTCTGGAGTTAACACTTCTAATACTAGATAATGTATTCTTTGATCTTATTCTGTAAGAATCGATTGTGATTCCATTCAAATTATGTTACTGTAACTAGTGCAAACAAACACTCAGCTGCATGTTATAATGAAAGATCAGGCTTCACTTACCGAACCACGCCCATCTACACTTTTGGCGGACCCTGTACGCTTTAGCTTGCCTGTGCTGCCCTTTACTTTACCATCTTTATTAGCTGGGAAACAAAGATAAATCATTAACTTTCTGCATGATGAACATGAAATAAAGGATTTATTTATACTAGTTTCTGACAACCATAACAACACTTAATTTCTTATAACTACATGTATATATACATCCTTTATAAATTTATCATGTACGGATTACATTTTCCTTATGTGTCCTGTTCTGGAAAAAGAAACCAAAATCCCTATTACACCTCTGTTTACATTAAGTGTAACATACATGCTCTGGAGCTTGGACGTTTATCCTCGGAGTTCAAGTCAATGTCCTTTTGGAAGATGAAGGCTGGGATAACAGCATGACCTTTGCCTGTAGTGCTGGCAACCTCAACTTCATCGTCCAGAACAACCAGCTTGATATACACATCCTGTTTTGATGTATTCACTTGTATACTGGTTACATTTGGAGGCATGTGATCCTCATTCACCTTCACAGCATACCTGTGAACAAAGTTCTTAATTAAACCATATCTGTCAACAAGATTCCACATCTAATCACAACTATCAACAGTCTTCCTCAATAAACCATTATCTCTCAACAAACACTGTAATAAACCATTATCTCTCAACAAACTCCGTAATAAACCATTATCTCTCAACAAACACTGTAATAAACCATTATCTCTCAACAAACTCCGTAATAAACCATTATCTATCAACAAACTCCGTAATAAACCATTATCTCTCAACAAACTCCGTAATAAACCATTATCTATCAACAAACTCCGTAATAAACCATTATCTCTCAACAAACACTGTAATAAACCATTATCTCTCAACAAACTCTGTAATATACAATTATCTCTCAACAAACTCCGTAATAAACCATTATCTCTCAACAAACTCCGTAATAAACCATTATCTATCAACAAACTCTGTAATAAACCATTATCTATCAACAAAATTACTCAATGAATCATCATTCGTAAAAAAAAAATTTCAAAAAGAAAAAAAAAATCAATAAACCATTACATGTCCAGAAATTTACTCATCGAAGCCACCTCTGTCAAGGTAACTCAGATGCTACTCACCTAAATATCACATCCTTAGGGTTAGGTATGTAGTAATCCTTGAGTTCCCGTACATGGAATGTTGAGTTACATGTAACTTCATTTTTCTCATTCTTCTGTGGCGCTGGTAGTGGACTCAATGAGCCAATCAGACGCATCCGCCACTTGTTGGCAGCCAGTGGCATCTCTGTAGTCCTAGCTTCAGCCACAAATGTGTAGCCTTTCTATAAGTACATACACCTACCATCAGTGACCAAAAATATCAATTTAGAAATCCCTTGACTTACTAATAAACTAATGAAAATTTCTGAAAGATCTCTTGTAAATATATTTCTGCTGACATACATGTAGGTTAAAAGTACTGAAGAGAAATATTTCCTACATTAACACAATCTAGATATCCTCATTTACCCTTGTCCTATTCAAGTAACACATGCTGCTAATACAATACAAATTATGACTGAATAATGATACAGACCCTGTTTTTCTTGTAGACGTAGGGGGCGACTCGCTGGAAAACCTTGGGGATCTCCTCCCCATTATCATTGTTAATCACTCTCAGCATACATGTGTTGATTGGTACATACAGTTTGGGTACCACCAGCATCTCCTCTTGTACATAGAATATCTCCCTGACAATAGATAGTCTTTAAATATAGTTCTGGACATTCACAAAACATGTCAATGCTACCCCACCTTGCTATAACATGAACATTATCACATCATTATTCACAATTAGATAAACTGTAACTTGAATGCCTGGTTTCTAGAGTTTATTGAAGAATCACAACCAATGAGAACCTCAGAAAGATGAACTTTTTAATGATATTATAGCAACCACCAAGTATGAAGATTCATCAAACCCTAAATCTACTTATAGCTGGTAAAGAACTTACCTGAACACCACAAACCAGTTGTTAGCTGGCTGGTCTGGGTACTGCCCTGTGTAGTCAGCATACGAGATCTTGTTCCATTCATCTTGGTAGAATGGATACTTTGACATAATGTCAGGGTCCAGTTTGAACATGTACCTGGAGGAATATAAAAAAAACAGTCAGTTTTTATCTGACCTTAAATCAGGAAATAATTAAATGATTATAAGATCCTTCTGTGAATCTAGTCACTAGAATGCCAACTGTATTCTATACAATGCTAGGTTTACACCTGTTGGTTGGTTGTTTTGTTGGTACATGTTTCTCTCTCAAAGACTCTTCCTTTTGAAAGGTATTGTGTCACTGACAAATGTCTGTGTTCTGAGGATGTTATTTCACAACTGTGACTTACCTAAACAGATAAAGACCATTTTGTTCGATATTCTGTTCCAGGATGGCCCAGGATTTCTGTAGTGCTTCCATGGCTCGGCTGTTTTCTTCCGTCCCTGTAAACATATCAGGTTAACATAGAAACTGATGCTGATGGACCAGTTACACAGGCTGTTTTATCTGTAGTGATTCTGTAGTGAATAAGATTAACTACAAATACATACAACATGAAGGTCTAAACTTAGTAACAAAGAAACTTACCTAGAATATGTAAAGCTAACATAAAGTTTAGCTCTTTAATGTATTTTGTAGATCTGAGTTTTTAAATTAAATTTCACACCAGTTAAGACAGAAATACTTGACAGACAAGAAAATTTCCAAATATGACAAATCCAAGATTTGATCAAATTTAGTTGATGATGAATTACAATAAAACTATCACTATGTGATTCCCAGGTTTACGACCTACCAACAATATACTTACCAGGTGTGCGGGCATTGAGAAGTTTGCGTACAACATATCCTTTGCCAACCTTCTGGATCCTTATGGCTGCTATCTGCTCCTCAGTAGTAGGCTCCCTGTTGAAGAGTAAAATCTAGGTTCTAAGTTCTGTTTAATCAATAGATATTATGTCTGTTAGATCAACAGTCATACAGGATAATTTTTAATCTTTCTTAATATTTTAAACTACAGGCAGAGGACGAAGAATGTTAACAATATATTCTAATGTGCTCTTTTCTATCACATTTCAATTTATATATATATACTTTGATCATTTACTTTGTAAAATATTACACATCTGAAATCTAGGCCTTGATAATGTTACACTGGGCAGCTTTATCTGAGAGTTTTATATCACACCAACCTTCATCAGACAAATGACCAGTATGGAGCATACTAGCACTAATGCAGAAAGTCCACAACAGTCTTTTGTCTGATGAAGGTGACCATGTAGTCATCGAAACATCACATTCCAATCTTCTACTGGTTGTGTTATAAGAACTTCTATTTTATTAACATTACCAACCTGAAGAATATGCTAAGAACTTACCTGTTTGCCCAAGGGTTTTCTACTTTGTCTGCCTCTCCTGAAAAGAGACCATGGATACCATAAAAAATCATGTAATGGATGAGAAAACAAAAAACTTATCATAATATATAACAATATTGTTGATATGGTACTAGGAAACTATCACTTTTAATACTTTACTAGGTATCATTGTTTGTCATAGGAATGGCTAATATTGATAGAAAAGTGATTATTCCTTCACAATGAGAGAGAACATTACATCATTTGAAACCCTGAAACATCCTGACTGCAGAAATATCCATTTTTTAAAAAGTTTCAAATTAAACCAAACTTTGAGATACACCACCGATCTATTTGTTGTAAAAACCAGTTAGTTTCATGGCTATAATTTGTCTTTGATATCTACATCTCTAGTTAGCCAAACACATCACCTCACCAACACATACAGCAATCCGCAACACCAGAGAAACATCCTCAAACTTCTTTTATCCTTTTATGTTTTATTTAGACGAGATAGAATGAAGCAATTAAACATCTCTTAGAGACTTAAGTGAATCAGGTTGATCACAAGGCATTTTCGTTGTTGGACAATTATACCTGGTAATGAGTTTTTCTATAATGAAGTTCAGGATGAATCTCAAAACATTTTAACTAAGTAAAAAAAAATCCAATCTGATCCCTAAAAATAAAACAAACTCTCAACACCATTTTGTTTTGTCTACCAAAAATCATTCACCAATTACAATAAACCCAAACAATGTACAGTGAATCTTGTCTTGTATGCTGTGTCCTATACTTGTAGTTCCTGCTTTGTTAGATATTTGTCATGGATAATGTAAAATTAAAATTTTACGCAAACCATCAAAAAAAATCAATTATTTAACTAGTTTTCATTAAAAAGAATGATAATTTGTTTAAACTTGGTATTATTAATCAGCAACTTCAACATAAAAATGTCCGTTGTAACTTATGATAAATTAATGAATCAGAGTTTGGACACCTGAAATGCCTGTCACCTTTATCAATAGAACAAGTTTCACTGTACCAATTTCTACAACAATCACATTATAATATACATGCACATAATATCAAATCAAACATAGCAGCCAGTGTTAGACAATGTAGGTAAAACGGACATACCCTCTACGGACGGTTCTATAGGGAGGCATGCAGAAAAGAAAAACACATATTAGAACATTATAGGTGGTAAGGGGATGCAACTAAAGCTGAAACATATGGAGGATAATTTACATGTACATTATAAACAAAGGATCAGCAGGGAGGGATTATAAACACGGGCACAAATACACATTGATGGCTTATAATCAAAGTTTGAGAATTGTGGTGGGGTTAAGTTATAAGGTTTAAACAATGTTAAGATAGGTGAGTAGGCTACAAGGTTCAAAGGGATATCAGATGTTATTAATCACAAGGGTTTAAAAGAGTTTTTAACTTACATAGAAAGGTTCAGAAGTTTATTGTGGTGTTAGGGATATAGAGAAGGAAGTGTGTTCTTGTGTGATTAAATTCTAATAGTTACTGAGGATGGACACATTAGGACACATTCCTAACTTTTCTATCAGTCTTCTGGTATAGGATAAATCTATAGTAAACACTCATATTTAGTATTTTACTGGAGTTAAAATTTATTCTATACGTACTAAACAATAAAACATATTAAATATACTTTTGGTTTTTCTAGGTCAGTTGATATTTTTATCAAATTGAGACACTGAAAATGAAGGTTAGAATAACAAACATGTAAGGTTATAGGTTGTATAGTTCAATCGGACAAAAGGTTTTATATTGAATGAAGGCAATTCTAAGAATTGAAACATGTTGTTTTAGTAAAACTAGTAAACTCTATATGTTGAACTAGAAAGTACTCCAGAGCTCAATCATATTAACACCTTCCTATCACCATTCAACTGTCTACGAAAGTCCAACACACCATTCTCACTTGTCTCAAATTATCTACGAAAAAAATTATATGTAGACAAATAATGGTAGCAGATATTAGGAAAACCAACAATGTAATGTCAGAGATGTGTGAGGATCACATCATCCCTTTATCATCATTACATAATGTGTACCAATATTGACACTGTCTATAATGATATGTAACAGAAGTAGGTTATGGTTCTCCTGTTACATGTCCATCATATATCTTTTGATATACTTCATACTTGGTCTATTATATCAAATCATCAAATGTAATTATACAGTTCAGTCCAACTTCATCTGGGAGGAAATATACCAATTAGGACAATCAAAATTAGTGAAACTACTAAGTATTATATCATCTCAGGTTTTACTCTAATCTGACAGACTTTGTACAATCATCAATCACGGTTACATTTCATTTATTTGTTCTATAACTTTTGACCAATCTGATAGTAGTATGCTTATTATTAATGCACCTAGTTGTACTTTTTATATAGAATTGCTGTACTGACAGTGTTGAATCTGAGAACACTGTGGAATGTTAAGTAGCTTTTTCTCAACATCAATGATAGATTTTCAGAAAGACAACAGGATGGAATGAAGGCCACTCCCTCTATCATTCTGACAAGTAATTACAATAACATCCTCCATTAAGGGGATGAATATCTATACACTACTGTACTACTGTATTAGAAAGATAGTAGTAATTCTAATCATTCACTATTACAAATTATAGGTGCAAATCATTCCTAGGAACTAGACAAGCAGGTGTAAATTTCTCCTAAAGAGAATGTGTTTGCTTACTAACTGTGAAAAAGATTAATCAATATTACATTATAAACACACAAACAGATATACATCTGTACTCATTGTCTTCTCAGAATCTGTCAGGAATGTAATGAAAATTAGCTACAAAGTTCGCTATCCAACAGTCGATCAGAGTGAAAATCTTCTGATCATATGGTGATATCAACAATATAAGACTTATATATTCTTCTGTAAAAGCAATAATTTATCAAAACATAACAGATTAAAAGATACTGTAACATTGTTAATATCTAGAAAACTACTGTTAATATGGAAGGTAAACTGAATTTCCTGCGTCATCTGCAAGATTTAAAAAAGAAAAAGAAAAAAAAAATCATATCAGCTAGAAGTTTGGTAAAAATTAAAACCTACAATTTTAAACATAAGCAAAAGGATAAACAGATTCTTACAAGTAGCCTAGTACCAATATTATGTCCAAGCAAAGATCTAGCACTCAGTCAGATTCTGACCGGTGACGTCTATGTTCTATAAAACCAAAGTTACCTTGTGGTTTGACCTCCTGTTGTGTAACTCCTAAAGGGAGGTAATGATAAAGTTAATATACAGGGGTGCCAGAATGGACAGGTACAGCAAGGGAGATAAATACGTCGACAGTATGATATACAATGTTTATAAAGATTACAGACAATAATATATGATATACAATCTTTATAAAGATTACAGACAATAATATATGAGGAGGTTGAGCCATCACCAGTTATGATATTTTCCACCACCAGTCCTTGACTAGATGTTAATTACTATAACACAACACCTTCCAAATTCTTCTCAATCACTCCACTCTCTTACTGCCCATAATAAAATTACAGGAACAGTATATTTTTCAGATATCAAATACTAACCAGAACTGTGAAATGCAGATTTTGGGTGACAATTCTACTCAGTAAGGAACTAATTTAATGAAATACTTGTATATGTTATATACAGTTAAATTTAAAGCCATATTCAATAAGTAGTATTGTCAGCTATCCACTACCTCTAATGGCAGTGACTTACATATTAGATAACAAACCTTACTTATCAAACAATCATACAACTATAACATCTCACTCCCCTTCCAGGACCAGGTATAATTTAGTTCAGAAAAAGATAAAGACTCTCCATGAAAGAATAAGAATGATGACTAAGTAAACTTGTATAACAGAGAATAAGTTAAATAGTCATGTAAGGTACTTCTGGACATACAAATGTAACCATGGCAAACTGTAACATAATTCAGGTAGGAGATAAACAAAGCTTATGGTCTACATTACAATTAACCTTTGGTTAATCCAAACAAAAATCAAACAATATTGTTGAACAAGATCGAATTATACAAAATTATGCTAGTGAAAATAAATAATAGTTTGAACCATTGAGTCATTATTGCCAGAAATCATGAATAAATGTGAAAAATGTCTAAGCAAGACAGGAAACATTCTGATCCCCCAGAGTTACTGCCCTTGGCTTTTCTCTGTCAGATGGTATAGCAATAAGCTTGACAGCTGATGGGGGCTGAGAATGAACAGGACACAACCAAACTACCAACCAAAAACTAGAAACTGACAACAGCCTATTTGGACAATTGAAAAACATGGTGATTATAATGTAATTATCGTTAGAAACACTTACATGTTAATTGACTGATAAATGGCAGTTTTCATTTTGTACTTTATCCCCGTAGATATCGTGATAAAGAAATCATAGAGCAAGCCAAAAACACATGTCTGCTTGTGTATAGGCATACGTCAGTCACACGATGTGTTTCAGTTTGTAAGTAAAACAATTTGAACTATTTGAACAGACCAAAGGTTTATTGTACTCTTTAATAACACAGGTCTGATCATCACTGATACAGGTGTAACCATCACTGGTACACCATCACTGGTACAGGTGTAACCATCACTGGTACACCATCACTGGTACAGGTGTAACCATCACTGGTACAGGTGTAACCATCACTGGTACAGGTCTGACCATCACTGGTACAGGTCTGACCATCACTTGACCATCACTGGTACAGGTCTAACCATCACAAGTACATGTCTGATTATCACTGATACTGGTCTGACCATCACCAGTACAGGTCTGATCATCACTTGACCATCACTGGTACAGGTCTAACCATCACTGGTACAGGTCTAACCATCACTGATACAGGTCTAACCATCACCAGTACAGGTCTGATCATCACTGATACAGGTCTAACCATCACTGGTACAGGTCTAACCATCACCAGTACAGGTCTGATCATCACTGAAACAGGTCTAACCATCACCAGTACAGGTCTAACCATCACTGATACTGGTCTGACCATCACCAGTACATGTCTGATTCTCACTGATACAGGTCTAACCATCACCACTGATACAGGTCTAACCATCACCAGTACTGATACAGGTCTAACCATCACCAGTACAGGTCCGATCATCACTGATACAGGTCTAACCATCACCAGTACAGGTCTGATTATCACTGATACTGGTCTGACCATCACCAGTACAGGTCTGATCATCACTTGACCATCACTGGTACAGGTCTAACCATCACTGGTACAGGTGTAACCATCACTGGTACAGGTCTAACCATCACTGATACAGGTCTAACCATCACCAGTACAGGTCTGATCATCACTGATACAGGTCTAACCATCACTGGTACAGGTCTGACCATCACCAGCACAGGTCTAACCATCACTGAAACAGGTCTAACCATCACCAGTACAGGTCTAACCATCACTGATACTGGTCTGACCATCACCAGTACATGTCTGATTCTCACTGATACAGGTCTAACCATCACCAGTACAGGTCTAACCACCACTGATACAGGTCTAACCATCACCAGTACAGGTCCGATCATCACTGATACAGGTCTAACCATCACCAGTACAGGTCTGGTCATCACTGATACAGGTCTAACCATCACCAGCACAGGTCTGACCATCACTGGTACAGGTCTAACCATCACTGATACAGGTCTAACCATCACCAGTACAGGTCTGGTCATCACTGATACAGGTCTAACCATCACCAGCACAGGTCTGACCATCACTGGTACAGGTCTAACCATCACTGATACATGTCTAACCATCACCGGTACAGGTCTAACCATCACCAGTACAGGTCTGATCATCACTGGTACAGGTCTGACCATCACCGGTACAGGTCTAACCATCACTGGTACAGGTCTAACCATCACTGGTACACACTGGTATAGGTCTAAACATCACTGGTACAGGTCTAACCATCATGGGTACAGGTCTAACCATCACTGGTACATGTCTAACCATCACTGGTACAGGTCTAACCATCACTGGTACAGGTCTAAACATCACTGGTACAGGTCTAACCATCACGGGTACAGGTCTAACCATCACTGGTACAGGTCTAACAACCACTGGTACAGGTCTAACCATCACTGGTACAGGTCTAACCATCATGAGTACAGGTGTAACCATCACTGATCACCAGTACAGGTCTAACCATCACCGGTACAGGTCTAATCATCACTGGTTCAGTTCTAATCATCAATGACTCTTGTTTAGATTTGAGACGCTAAATTTGACCTTAGTGCATTCCTAGGGACTTACAACAGTATAAAATGGTCGGAGTTTTCTGATTACATAGTACTATCTACTGAGGACACAGGGATTATCCACAAGTACAGAACATGATAAGTTAAGACAAGAGTTATGGTTCTTGGTGATACATCTCTAATGTGAGTGAAGAATACTTTACCATGAGAAATTGACATGCCTGGAAACACATGGCTAATGCTGTTAAATATCTCACATCAATTAAGTACAAACATTTAAATGTTGATTATAGGGAGGGTATTCAAATGCTTTAATTCATCTTCTATGGATATTTTATATTCTAAATCTACTTTTGATATATTGTTCTAACAAAGTTCTGTCAATTTAACAGCTTTAGCGTTGACTTGAATGAACAATTTTTCAGAGTTCTAATGTATGTGATACAGAAATCTATATAAATAGTGCTATAATTATTGATTACTCATAAATGAGTAGCATGCATTTGTATACCATTACTGTCATGCACAATTGTGAGAGATTGAGTGACATGCAATATTACAATATATTGTGACATAGGGTGACGTGGCCAGAAGCTTGGGTGCCAATATACAAAGATAGCCAAACACCCAATATGTTCAGGGCATGATGTGGGCAGGATACAGGGCAAGGTGTAGGCAGGATACAGAACAGAGGTGGACAGAGGTGGATAGGATACAGGACAGGGTGTGGGCAGGATATAGGACAGGGAGAGGACAGGATACAGGACAGGGTATGGACCAGATACAGGACAGGGAGAGGACAGGATACAGGACAGGGTGTGGACCAGTTACAGGACAGGGTGTGGGCAGGATATAGGACAGGGAGAGGACAGGATACCGGACAGGGGTGGACCAAATACAGGACAGGGTGTGGACCAGTTACAGGACAGGGTGTGGGCAGGATATAGGACAGGGAGAGGACAGGATACAGGACAGGGTATGGACCAGATACAGGACAGGGTGTGGACCAGATACAGGACAGGGTTGGGCAGGATACAGAACAGGGTGTGGACAGGATACAGGACAGGGTATGGACCAGATACAGGACAGGGTGTGGACCAGTTACAGGACAGGGTTGGGCAGGATACAGAACAGGGTGTGGACAGGATACCGGACAGGGTGTGGGTGGGATACAGGACAGGGTGTGGGCAGGATACACAGTGGAACAGACAGAACAGTCTGTGTATGCGACACACAGCAAAATCACAAGGCAGGGTATCACTCCTGTGACAGGTGACACCAGGCAAAATTACAAGCAGGGGTCATAACATGTGACACCAGGCAAATTTACAAGCAGGGTGTCAGAACATGTAACACAGGCAACAAGGACATGTGTTTTAAACAGATTATGGACTCTGGGAAATGTGGCAAAGCACAAATTACGTACAAGGTACTGACTGGGGAAATGTGACACAGGATCCAACATTTCACTTACGCTTCTTGTCTTTATCCTTCTCCTTGCCTTGGTCTTTGGAAGGTTTAGCAGATCCTCTGTGACTTGTCATACCAGTTGCTTTAAAATCAAAATGTTAAAATTAATTTCTATCTCTTTTGTAAATTCAAGTTTTGCTTTACTGGTGTTTTGCACTGCAGTCATATGCACTGATATTCTAATATTTCATGTTTAGTTAGTACTTTCTGAACTTCATTGAAACTTCTATTTGCTTAATATACTTAGTTAAACTTTACCAAAGGAAAAACAATAATAATTTCAACCTTTCTAATGATATCTCTTTTTCAGCCACTCTTGTACTGGTTATATCAATCTGATTATTTCAATCATTCAAACAATTCACATAAATGCAGCTATATTAAGAGTGTTTGTGTAAAAACTCTCCTATGATGTCACTCTGAACCAGTATACATACAGTAGGTTATGGTTTCTCTACTTGCAGATGATATAAAACCATACCAGGCCTACTGCTGGACGGTAAACCAAGGATATTTTTGGTAGTAGCGTCAAAGGTAAATGATCTCCAGGCAAAGGCAAGGTCCTGGTTGGCAATATCTGATAGACACTTTCTCAGGGTATTATATAACGCATCATTGAAGATCTGGAATCAATAAAAATCAGTTATAAACAAAATGCCTCAACAATTTCATGTAAGGGTTTACTTTTCTAACCTACTAATAAATGGTTGGTGTTGACAGGAAATAAGTGGCCAGCATTTGAGACAACAACTGAACTTCACAAGGTCCCGACAAGTCTATTTTTGTAACCTACCTTGAAATGGTTGGCCTTTGACATAAGTTTATCATGTCTGTATGGGCAATGGTAATTGACAAGTTCCTCCCAGGCCTGCTTAAAGGCCTCACGATCGTTGAAATATGCAATACACTTGCCAATACTGTTCATTACTTGTGTGGCGTTGTCCACAAACCTACAGCTTTCCTGTAAGTAAACACACTTGTTATAATCTATCTGTAACACTTAATCAACACATCAGTTCTAATATAACAAAATGTTTCCAAACTACAACACATATATCAGTGCTATCATCAATGATAATATTGTCTCTACCTTTACAATGAAGGGAAGTAAAACCTATGTAAACACAGGGTGCTCCTCGGTTAAGTATCACAATTTACAATACATAGCTGTCACAGTATATTACTATACAAGTAAGTAGAAAATCTAACATAATATAGATATACATGACCTAAAACTGCACCTTTACCTTTCTAATAGACAGTTTTCAAATTACATTTTCCACACCATGTCTTAAATCCTCACTATCTACTGAAGTGGACCAATGTTTTACCTTTGTAAGTTGAGCCATCACAGTTTCCTCGTCACCAAAAACAAATGGTGTGGTGGAGCAGAGGTGAACGTGGTGGCCCAAAGGGGCCGTCATCTGGAACCGCAGAACGTGGCGCCTACAATACAATTCACAGCATGGTATATTACAACACAGATTTAATACACAATTTAGTTTCATTCCTGCTTTAAGACTATTTCATATGTTGATTTTAACTTTACACTTCAGGTAAAAAAATCTGCATTTTTGATAATATCATGGTCAAATTAATTTAAAATATATGTTTAAACATGCAATGGCAATGATATGGGGATTTGTACAATATGAAACTAGAACTGAAAACAGCTGATTGTCTGTGAATGTACATACCCTGCTGGGAGGTTGAGTACTGCAGCTCTGGTAGCTGTGGATCGTAGACGGAGAATGGGCTGTCCAGTAACAAGACTTTTCCAGGAGTATGGTTCAGCAATCAGTGAACCTGGATGGACTACAGGTGGCACTTTGTTTTCCATTCCTACCACTGAACCTGTACACCGTACAATGGTCATGTTATGTATTATCAGTTGGAAACACAATGTCTTGGATCCATTTAATAATGTTACCCACATACTTCTTTTTTTATTTCTTCACAGATATTTTTACAGGGCTATGAATGAATTTTCAACCAAATGCACTCAACAAAATTATCTGGAACTTAGAAACCAAATTCAAAGAAATCTTTGTCTTCTGATCTACAATGACAAGTGTGTTCCCTACAGTGTTACACTTTATATGTAATTGTGATAGAACACCATCAATTCATTTTCATCTACGTTGTCCTTCAGTCTGATCATCCACCTACAATTTTAAACTAAACTGACACCAAAATGCTAACAACCAAACAAAAAATACAAATCACCACATTGATAACACAAATTGAAAAAGTTGAAACACAAAACTACAGATGAAATCAACACCACATAATTATCACCAAGTAAAAAAAAAAAGTTTTCAAAATACACAAACAACTACTTTTTAGTACATGTCCTCCAAACCTTCAAATCATAATTGAATTTCTGTGACTTTTTCCATGTACACCGTCACCAAATCTCTACTAAACAAGCTGTATTTGTGAAATAAAATTAAAAAAAATAAGGAAAAACTATTTGTTGAAAATTCAGGAGAGGAAAACCACAGTCACCATCTTACCTTCTGTCAGATACACAAGGTCCTCTGTTAGCATTAATCACAAAGTGTTTTGATAAAAACAACAATCATCACAAGATCAAGTTTCAAGTCATTTTTTTTGATGTTATCTATGACCAATGATGTCAGGAAAGGAATGATGGAAAGATCCAATGATATTCAATCTTTTGCTATTTTTTTTCCCATTTTCCTAAACCATTTTTTTATATCTAAAACCATTTTGTCTTTCACTAAAAGGAATTTTTAGTGCAAGTTTGAAGAATGCAAAATACCAGTATCATCTGTACCATGAAGAACTCCATACATAATAATCACATTTTTAAAACTTTATTTACGATATTATTGGGAATGAAGCATCGTATATAGCTAAAAAAGGAATGATTCCAAAGAAGAGATTTTAAAATATTTGCACAGAGTAAGTCACTCATAATAAACAATGGGGAGAAAGCAGGACCATAAATGATGTAAGTGTCCTTGAGCAATGGACGAACATAACATATCAGGAAATAGAAGGTAAATGTCATCAGATCTGGAAGTCGACCTATCAGAGGACAGTTGTATATTATCCAATCAGGAGGAAGTCATACAATACAATCAGCAGGAAATTGTACAGTATCCAATCAGAGAACAGTAGTATTTCATCCAATCATTGGAAAGATGTTGATTGTCCAATCAGAAGAAAGGTGTACATTATCAGAAAGCAATTATGTATTGATTAAAGAAATTTCTTAATCAATGAAAAAGAAATTGTGCATTCACTAAGGAAGTAAAAGTTTTCATTATTCAATGGGTAAATGGTTGTATTTAAGAATGCTTAGGAGCAGAGATCTATACCTTCCATGACACTACTACTGGTAATGTTTGTAAGTTCCTTCTCAGGATCCTTGTCCCCTCCCTTTCCTCCCTTAACACTCGTGTGAGATTTCTTCTCCTCCATAGGTGTTGGTGGAGGGTCATGCCATCGTGAAAGCGAAGAAAAGTTCACTACAATCTCTGTTGGCTTCAGATTGTCAACATCTTTAAACATGGTTAAGGTCATTCTAATCAGGACCAATTTGCAATAATGTTGATAAATCTGTGCAATTTTCAAACAGCATGTTTTTGTACAAAGAATCACTTACTACTGACACTAATTGAAGATGTTATCTCCCTGATGATAATAAAGAAAATATATATGTATATATATCAGGCTTAATAAGTATTCTGTGATTAAGAAATTGTTTAAAAATAATACTTTTCATACTTCGATTAATTTCTAAAATGGTCATTAACACTAAATAGGAGTGTAACTATAACAAGGATACAGAGGTAGTGAGGTGACTTGTCATCTGATCCTGAAGTCTGTAGGGAAAAAATGAATTTATAGAATTACATCATAATACATATATATCTTACATCATTAGTGCAATTAATACATAACATAGCATATCCTTAACTGTGACTTAAATATTTACCATTAACAAGACATACAGTTAATGAACGTCTATTCTATACTTTTTTTTTTATATTTTTTTACATTCCACAAAAGAATATTCTTGATCTTTGCCAATGTAAGCATCCATGTGAAAAATGTATGTAGAAAATTTGTATAAAAAACACATGGAGAATTTAGTTTCTATCAAAACAGACCAAACATTTTGAATGCATCTTCATTTTTCAATTACATTTGTACATAATATGATTGTGATCAGTACCCTTTGCAAAACACCAACCCACACTTGTGCATTTGCATTGTGAACAGGTGCTTTAAAAACAAAATCAAAACTCCATTCCCCTACTATAAACATACACTGAAAAATATGTTTGATGAAAAATCAAACACCTGTGGTAATTTGATAGGAATTAATTATTTGTTATACAATCTTTTTCAGTTAGTGCTGTTACTGTAAGTAAAATCAGTTCACAATAAAAAAAAGGTTTTAGCAGTAAGTCATGTACACAAAAAGCAAGTGAGTCGGGGCATGCAAGATACAGCAGGCGTTGTAGTTTATTGTCATGCAGTTCTCCATCCAAATATCAGAAAAGGTATTTCATCCGTCCAGAAGGATTTTCTTTGATGTTTGGAATAGTGTAGATAGATTGGATACATTAGAACCAACAAAGGCAAGCAATATCTGTAACCATCACAGACATGTTTGTAACCATTGGAGACCATCAATGTTTTAACCAAAGGGATTATCAATGTTTGTGACTAATGGAGACTAGAAAAGTTTGTGACCAATGGAGACTAGCCATGTTTTAACCAAAGGAGACTATCAATGTTTGTGACAAATAGAGACTAGCCATGTTTGTGACAAATGGAGACTAGCCATGTTTGTGACAAATGGAGACTAGCCATGTTTGTGACAAATGGAGACTAGCAATGTTTGTGACAAATGGAGACTAGCCATGTTTTATTACATTTGGAGACAATGTTTGTGATCAGTGGAAACCATAAATTTTCAAATCAAATGTATTGATGTTATGTATCGTGATTACATCATGTACTTGAATTTCAAAAGTATCTGAGCTGAAATACCTAAAGTTAACATACATTCTTTCTGAAGTTGTTGGCAACATTTAAGACATACCATGCAAGGTCACAGTAAAATTCCAAGGTCGACTGTAGATACACATAAAGAGCCAGAAGTGAAGACAATATGGACTAACAGATTATATATAAGCATAGAACATTAGTGCATAATTATTTGATGTAACTAATCTGATGTAACTATGTATATCTAACCATTTAACATAATAAGGTATTTGACATCAGAATATTTATAGATATAAGCACAAGAAATGATCTGGCACTACTTGATATACAATGAAGAAATCAATAAGACTACAGACACCTCAGGCAGGTGTACAAATTAGCAAGTTCTGTATATACAAGCATACAAGGTCAACTTCACTGCAAGGTCAGCACATTATCACCTGTCATCCCTACACACCACATGGTATACGGATTGAGCAAGTGATAACAGTCAGTGTGTAAATCTGCCAAAATGCAATTGTGTGATAAAAATCATTGAAATGTGATTCAGAATTCAAATGCCTCACACCAGTTAAATAACATTGTTCTCTCCTTCAAAAGGAAAATGCCAACTTTATCATTGTTTAAAATGATACCTGTATCTGGTGCTCAATTGTGGTCTATGTTCTACAAACTAGGGGTAAATGGCATTAAAAATTCATAGGCATATTCCTAGTCAATTTTCGCAAAGATATTGCTCATAAGATGTTCTTTATAAAGGAACGGTTTACAATGATTTTATTTTCATTACACTCTTCATATGTAAACATGTCTGTTTTTATTTGGGTTTTTTTTTCATGTATATATATTTACATTTTTTTTCCTTTCAATTTTCTTTTATTTTTAAAGTGTTGAAATCCAAGGCTCTCAGCTATAAGATAGATGTTTTGGGGAACTCCCAACTAAACAACATCCCGAACATTGAACACCACGTGGTTACCTGTCACTGCCATCTAGCAACAGTATACACCACAGAGAAAATTCACTCTTCCAGACTTGATCTTGTTCATGGCATTTGCTACATTTTTGGACACTAATTACTACCATAAATATATTGAAGATTTTAATAAAGTAACCAAGAGTGAGGCCTGCTGAATGTAGGAAATTAAAGAGCCTGAGAGCCTTGGATTAGGGTAGCCATGCAGTGAAGTGTGACAGGCTATACTCACACTTAGGGTGTTTGTGGGAGAAGGTGCTTGCATATGGGTAGGAGTTTGAGCAGTCTTGGAGGAGGAGGTATTTACCCCAGCAGTGTTGGGTGCCGACTTCTTGTCTCCCTTGCCGGTGGGAGCTGTGGACGCGGTGACGCTCTGTAATGTGAAGCTTAGTCAAACACAAAGTCTACAGTGACAAACACAACCCAAACCTGTCAACTTCATTACCAAACCAAGGAAGCCAATAATTCTGTGAGGATCACTTGTATTAGATGTTTTTTCATATTAATTAGCATCATGGAGGGAAGTTTCTCTATCAATTATAAATCAGGGAAAAGAAAAGCATCATTGGACAATGCTCATCATTTCCACCGACCTTAGTTTTATCTACATTCTCTGTAATAACTTCTCAAAGTTATAAATTATATTAAAATATGTCTCTTATGAAAATTGAAACAAACGTCCATGATTTAACAAAACTGTGATTAAAGAAATTAACTTCAATGTCTATTTATGATCTCATTCAAACATGCAGAATTAAAAATATACACAACATATAATAATATTGTCACAACATTAAGGAAATCAGCACTACACACAATACATATGAACACATTAAGCAATATGCTAGTAATTACAAGCCAACAACACTCAAATCTACCAGTCACAAAACTTCTTTATGTAGATTGTAATAAAAGCACATCAAGCAAGTACTTCTGATAAATATCTGGATATATATTTTCACACAGTTTCAAGGAATGATAAAGAGTTAAGGAATGCTTCAACTGTGGGTACAAAATTCATTCCACATCTAGCTTAAAATTTGTGCATAAAGAACAGAAATGTGAAAAAATACTAACAACAAAAAATGAAATAATAACTTTATGTAAAATGTCAGTTTATGGTGGCAATTTTGTATGTCATCAGCAATATGGGCCTGAAGGCACTCGTAGGTACCTAATTATGTATTATACTTCCATACAGCAAAGTTTCTGCCTACCTAGATGTTTAGGAACTCTCTAACTTCATTATATAGATATAATTGTTTTCTATATTTGTGGAAAAAAAAACTGCAGAAATAATCTTGTTCTTCAACTATTTGCACACTTTCGATGTAAAATTACAAGTAGGCACATGGAAGGATTGAAACTTGAAATCTTCTTGGAGACAGAAATATATATATTGAAATAGATATACAGATATACCTGGCCTTTCAACACTGCAAGATCTGTATACATCATTAACCACACATCTATCATCAGTATTTCTTTAAAGAAAAGGCAACTTTGAAGAATTTTTCCACTACAGAAAAGAACCACATCCAGATGTCTCTAGGAGATTGAGACACATACTGTGTGAAAGGGACAGAATATCATTGTCATGGAACAACAACTAAGTTTTCTCTGCTGAACCATACCCACAGGATAGCAATCAAGTTATCTCCCCTGAACACCAAAACTTGGAATTTTACCACATTTCTTGAATATTGGCTGCACTCAATCAGGTATGTGTTCCCCATGTCTACAAATGCTATATACAATCTTTATTTACGCTATAACTATCAGGAAACCTACATACAACACCTGATGTAAAACTCATCACCAGGTGGTTAGGAGCTGTCTATATACTGATATCTAGCTGATCACTACTTAAAACAAATACTTTCTATCTGTTCTGGTCAATAGTCAACAGAATTTTAAGGATTTAACAGAAAAACCTATTTTCTATCAAATAATAATGGTGGCCTTGACTTTATCCTGTAAAGTAATTTAAGCAAGCACATTCAATTCAATAGAGTAGTTATAGTGTAGAAACTGTTATCTATTTATAGTATTAATGACTTTAACCTTACCATATTCAACTTAGAACTAATCCTATATATACAAGCAATCCCAGCAGTGTAGCAATGTAGGAAACTGAAGGTCTTTGGTGACTTCAGGATCATAGGTAATGGTATGGACCCCCAAATTGCTACACATCTTAACAGTAACTTTTGTTGTCTAAACAGCAGTTCAAAGCAATCCCTATTACTTACCAATGGGTCCAACTGATTCTAACAGTCACTATACTTAAACCTGAACAACATTGGTAACCAACACTAACAAATTGATCAATTTCATCAATTTTCAGGCATTACAATAGAATGGGTGAATACCTTAAGCTGTAATTCTGCGAAACTTTCAGTGTTAACTTAATATTGGATGATACATAAATGCATATGGCGATAACAGCGTAAAATTACAGGGAACAAACTGCTTGTTAAAGCACATTATAGTACTGCATAATCTGAGGTACCTCATCAAATGCACAGAACTAAGAACTGGCTTACAGCTGGTATGGTCACTGTTACACAAAGACAACAAGCAAGGCTACAGTATCAATGGTTTGTTTCTATCCTGGTTAATGTATTTGAGGTACCTCATCAATTGCAAAATAAATAAAAAAATAATATATAAACAATATTGAACTGTAGACATACCTGTGAAATCAACTGTAAATCATAAACAATGTTTTTGTCATCAAAGTGATCCCTATTTTGATATCAGATATAATCTAATACTTCATGCAACATTAAACTTGAGGGCTACAGTGAGAGGATACTAAACCACAACCACTGCTCGACATGCCTAGACAGTACTACTTCTACCTGTAGCTTAATTAGCACTGCAGAGCTTAACACCACAGATGTCATCTCATAGGTCTCTGATTACATTACAACATGCATGCCTATGTATCATGAATGGATAAAGAAAGCTTTGATTTCGGAAAAATCCCTCAACAAACCTGTATATTGTATATTTTTTCCAATTTCTTCCAGCGTGTAAAAAAATAAAAATTTATACTTAATTTTTCACAAATAATAGTATAACAAAATAAGTATTAACATTTTTACTCTGAAAAGAACATTTGTCAACTTAAAATTTACCTTCTTATGTGTAACTTATTGACTAATAGCCTGGCAAATTGAGTTATCCAACATGTTAACATTATTCCATTAAAGTTTAAATGTTCAGCAATTGAAATCATGCATTATGAGGTTAAAAGCCAGCACACGCATTACAACTTTTGTGTGAGGGTCTCACACATCCTGCACCTGGGACTTGTCTACAAACCAGACACCTGCGGGGCTACGCTGGCTGGGGAGACAAGCTCCTGGAGAAGCTTGTACATTAGGGCAAAAACACTTACCTTCAGGTCCGAGAACTTCTGATTACAGACATAGGTCTGAGGCTTGTGGCAGATGTACAGGGTCCTATGAATAAATAAACATATTGTCAACATTGTCCTCAACAAAAATCTTACATTGTTTGTAGTGAAACAAAACAAAAGCAGGTGTAAGAAGGGGTTTGTGTGTAGAAAGAGGGAGGAAACACTAGCAACTGATGATTTAGTCAAGCCATATCTACAAAAGTAATACCTTTTTGCAACAGTCTTGTACTGCCTTTGAAAAATAATTATGGTGCATACATTTGAATGTGAACTGAAAATCTGCAGTCATGTAACAGAGATATTCTTGAATAAACTAGTAGTACTTTTGTTACAGCCAGATCTGAGCATACATGTGTACAACAATTATAAAACATCAGAAAATTACATACTTGAAGCACTTGCAGAATTCCTCAAAATCCATCCAAACTTTCTTTGGTTTTGCCTCTTCCTCCTCTGTCTTTCCATCCTCAGTGATTGGCTGTTCCTGTCCCTCCTCTCCATCCAGGACTGGTTCCTCTGGCTCTGTTGGAGGAGGAGGAGGTGCCAATCCAGAGTCAGCTTGCTGTAAGGCTCCTAGAAAAACAGTTACGTACATATGATATCTAATATAATGTTTGTAGAATGTTAATTAAATACCCATACCCTTCTCATGCTTTGATGAAAATGGACTTAACTATGAAGAAGACTTTTTGTCAGTGATATGATTTCACCACAACTAGACCTATGAGACTTATGTTAAATAAAAGCAAAGGAAAACAACAAATAGGAAGGTCAGTATTTCAAAATTATCATAGACTGAAACACTGGTTTAATTACAGGGTCTAAGGAAAGTATTAACAGGTAGATGGATGTATGAACAGAAAGGAAAATAAGATGGGTGTATTAATAGATAGGGAAATGAGTAGGTGTAAGACGAGATAGGGAAATGAGTAGGTGTAAGACGAGATAGGGAAATGAGTAGGTGTAAGACGAGATAGGGAAATGAGTAGGTGTAAGACGAGGTAGGGAAATGAGTAGGTGTAAGACGAGATAGGGAAACGAGTAGGTGTAAGACGAGATAGGGAAACGAGTAGGTGTAAGACGAGATAGGGAAACGAGTAGGTGAAAGACGAGATAGGGAAATGAGTAGGTGTAAGACGAGATAGGGAAACGAGTAGGTGTAAGACGAGATAGGGAAACGAGTAGGTGTAAGACGAGATAGGGAAACGAGTAGGTGTAAGACGAGATAGGGAAACGAGTAGGTGTAAGACGAGATAGGGAAATGAGTAGGTGTAAGACGAGATAGGGAAATGAGTAGGTGTAAGACGAGATAGGGAAATGATATGGGTGTATGAACAGAAAGAAAAATGAAATCACTGCGATAGTGTTAATGTTTATTTACAACATACCTTTGAGTTTATCCTTGTCATCTTCTTTCTTACTTGACCTGGAGTCTGACCTTCCTGCACTCTTGCCTCGTTCTGGCTTAGTGGATCTATCAGCACTGCCACTTTTCCTGGGAAGCTTAGGTGAAGACTAGAGGGATGTGGAAAACATGTCAATAAGGGATAGCCCACGAATAAAGCACTGTCAAAACATGACATACTAAACAACAGGACAAATTTCACACATTACAACAAAGTTCAGCTATGCTATAATCTATTAATTATCATAATTGTAAGCTTTACATCAATAAAGGAAATGACTTTTACCTTGAATTCCTTACTAAAGTAACATTCCACAAATTTCCTTGCCAGGTTTATATTGTAAAGATGTTAGTAACACTAGTATCAAACAACCAGTTTGTATTATTAGAAGCTTGCAATTTCACCAAAGTTAACACCATTCAATCAAACTTTCTCTAAAACATCTAATCAATTTATATTATAGCTGAGATTTAACTACACATACAATGGTTACTATGGTAACAAATACCATGGCTATCTCATTGAAATTTATTTTACATCATCATGTAATCATGTAGAATGAACGGTAGGAATATTCTCCAGTTGTTTTGTATAGGTGGGGCAAACTTTAAAAAGCCTGGCAAACCTAAATCATGCAAAATTCTATTCCTGGTTTCTCAGGCCCGATTCCCAAAACCTTTTTTTGATAATGCAAGGCTCTCTTGTTTTTCATTCCTAAAAATCCTAATGCATGAAGACCTTTATATCAAAACTACCTCCATGAAAAGATATTAAACAGTTAATTGTTTTAGAGTTTGTTTTAATTCTAAATTTCAATCTTTATAATTTATGTGAACATCTAATCACTTTCATTTTCTCTTTTCTTTTATGAACGTACCGATTCAATTCACTATTGAATTTTCAGTTCCTTTCAATTATTTAGTTTTGGACCTTGCATATCTTTAACAGATCCTTGAAAGAGCAGGACTAGTAACAGCAGAAAGGCAACCTAAAATTACATTTTTGACATGTAGTATATAATGAAGTGGAGGCAGAGCTGACATCTTTAATATCTTCAATACTTAAGTTTTTTTTTTCCTCATTCACTTTTATTCTTCAATGACATACTAGGTTCAAAAAAGCTACGGGTAGGCCTGAGATACCAAGGTTAATGTTACTCTGCATCTAATACCTTAGATTTGGAGTTGGGCAAACTTCTGATCTCTGAATGATAGGAAGGTTTTCTGGTGGTAGTATGTAAAGGCTTGACCCAGTGACCTTGTGTTTGACCCCTGACCTACCTCACGACTGACCATTTTGCCTCCTTCTTGTATTTCTTTGGTATCTTTCTTGGTTGCAGAAGACTTGCGTCTCCCGGTACGAGGCCCTGGACTAGACGGCTTTGTTTCAGGCTTAACTTCTTTTTCTGGCTCAGGTTGTTCTACTGTCTCCTTATTTAAACAAGGTCAAGGTCAGAAAAGCTAGGTCATAATGACTAGTTGTCAAAGTGGGAATGACCCAGTAGAGGGCGGTACAGCCTTTATTGCTATGTACTCCTAGCTGATTCTACAGCTCTAATCTATATATATCTAGAATGATTATTTTTTAAAAAGCAAATTCAGCAAACAAATTATTTCAAATGTTAGTTACCAAATACAACTTAAAAACAAAACAAACTCAACACCAACATCAGAAAATTACAGATAAACCTTAAACCATTAAATTAATGCTATTAAAGATACACAATTAACCATGAATGTAATTACAGATAAACCTTAAACCATTAAATTAATGCCATTAAAGATACACAATTAACAATTAAATTTATGTACTTATACAATTAACCATTAATGTAATTACAGATAAACAATCAACCATCACATCAAGCAGTACACCTTTTATTACATTTTCATTGGTGAAGCCTAAGAAATTAGTAATCTGATTAAGATTCATAAGTTTTGACCAATCAAAAAATTGCTTTTTATTATTTCCTTAACATTTAAATTCTTTTCATTAGAAAAACAATCCTGTAATATTTATGAAATGTCTAGTGATACTCAAGGAAAAAGAAAACAGAAATCACCGTTTTGGTAAGTCCAAGATAAATATCACATCAGCACTAGTGATAAGATGAATTTTCATCAAATAAACAAAATTATCTTGATATTCAAATATCGTTAAGTCTTCCATAAACATTAATCCAGTTCTTTAACTGTCATATTTTAATCTCCATAAATGGTCAAATGTTCTGGTACCAGACTACATAGGTAATGAAATTGTTAAAAATTCAATGTTGTTAATTTCCCCAAAATTTAGGAGAATCTTCTTTATGATGATGAATCACTCAACAAAAACACAATAAGAACAAATCAGAATTATGTAGAATGAAAACAAAGATAACTTCCTCCAACATCCATGCTAGTATAGACCCAGCACTGGTAATGACTGGCCACATAAAAATGTCTCCCTGAAGTGCCCCCGTCTGACACACTACACTTTTCCAATAATTTCAGCAATAATTATTACCATGAGTATGTTTTTCTGTTTAAATCAAATACACATAAGTTACCCAAATTTGTTGTTTTTGATTAAGTTGATTCATTGATTATATTAATTTTTTGGTTTTGTTAGGACTAGCATGGTTGGAACCAGCTGTTCTGTATCTAAGACTAGCCACACCAGTACAGGTTTACAGAGCACCATTAGTAAAACCTATACTAGTAATATATAAACCTGCCTACCTCTGCCTGTGGTGGTTCATTCACTAATTCTCCCTCCATTTTAACTGTATCAGGAGCATTCTCATCAGTCTCCTCTATTGATGTAGACTTGGGTCGTGACCGTGTACCTCCTCGCTCTAATGAGGAATTTGGCCGATGCCTTTGTACATAAAATTTTTTAATTGAAATTAGATATAAACAAGATACAATGTAATATGTTTTGTTTTACAATCTAATCACAGGTTACAATGATGTATGCTGTGTGGACCTTATATAGGAAACAGACATTCTAATATGTATCAATTTTCAGTTTTGGTTACAATAAGCATTGGAAGTTAATGGAACATGTTCCCCTCAGTCCTGAAGACTTGGTTACTGTTCTTGTTTTTTAAGGCTGTATATTATTTGAAAACAACAAAAATAATACATAAACACAAATACAGATATATTTAACAAAAGGTTTAATGTAATATATAGATAGGTTTACTTACGTCTCAGTGGGTATAGGTACAGGACTGACTTTGTAGTTTAAGAATGATGAGGTAATCTCAATACACTGGATTGGTTTGGGTGGCTCCGGTGTGGCTATCAACATATAACATTCATATATATATATATATACACACATAGATAAACTTATTTCATTTTTCTTAATGTTCATTATATTTCTGATTAGCAAACAATAAGTAAGTATGAAAATATATGTTCAGCAGAAAAATTACAACTAAAGAACAACTTACAAACTGGTTCATCTGAAGGTGTCTTCTTTTTCTTTTTGGGTCTGATTAATTTCCATGCTGGTATTTTCTCTGGAGGGGGTGGGGGCTCCAGGGGGCAGGACCTTGTTTGGGTGATACACACAGGGTGTGGGTACAGGTGAGAAAGGCCATTCTGTCTCAGCTTCTCACTGGCATCAGCCTGGTAGTAAATTACATCAAAACAAATACATTCACAGGTAAGTATATAAAAAAGATACATGAGGGTTAGATATTGTTGTAACCATAGTGATTTGGCAATAAGTCAATGCTGGATGATATGCCCATCTACATCTATTGCAGTTAAAGTAGAAACTTCAGAAAATGCTATGATTGTCCTGTTATTTGTCAACCTCTCTACCTTAAATACGTTGTAGACAGCACCAGACAACACCTTAGGCAGATTACAAGTAGAATTTAATTGTTGACATGTTTCGCCATACTAGGTATGCCATCCTCAGAGCCATCTACCTTCAGTAAGTGGATATGAGTTGTCCCCCTTGGCTTAGTATAAGATGCCATATACAAGCACTCGCTGAAGTGATATGTGCACATTTTTTTGGAAAAATTTGTGAGCAAATTAACTTTACTTCCAGTCAGAATACATACCATTTCCCCAAGAACAGAGACTTTGACTGGGAATTTTGGGGTGCTCAAATAAGTAGCATACACTACAACTTCAGGCTTTTCTGGAACAGGTACATCATCAAGTGTAGACTTTTCCTCTGAAAAACACAACACATAGACCTATTAGTCAAAAATTGTAGTTCCACTTTATTCCTCCATAAAGCCTTGAACTGCTCCTCCCTTACCTACAAAGCCTACTCTCCACCAATCAGCCTTCCCCTGTCCCACTTTCCCCCTTACAGACCTCCAAAGCCTCTCCTCTTCCCATAGAATCTTCCAAAGCCCCCATACAACCTTCCCTTCCCAAAACAGCCAATACGTTTCCCATACAGCACCAACCAACACTGTAAGCTTTCCAGTGAGGTTACCTTAGATACCTAGGTTTAGTACAATCAGAACATGTTAGGACCATACTTACTGTCTTTTCCTCCCTTGTCTTTGTCTTTCCCACCTTTGTCTTTATCCTTTCCTCCTTTGTCTGAAAAAAAGATACATTAAAGATTAAACTTCCTACACAGATCAATTTAGCCTAATATCATACAAAGTTATTTAACATACATATGCATGTATATTTGTGTTAATTAAGTGAGACTTACTTTCTACACAGTGCTAAACATTCTCTAAACTATAGTAACACTGATAAATAAGGACATAAAAACAAAGGTTTGTGAGCCATCCATTATTTCCCACTTCATTACTAACATTCTCTTTACCCAGCCTAGATCACCTTCCCAGCTGCCATCCTGTTTCCCTTTACCCAGCCTAGTTCACCTTCCCAGCTACCATCCTATTTCCCTTTACCCAGCCTACATCACCTTCCCAGCTACCATCCTATTTCCCTTAACCCAGCCTAGATCACCTTCCCAGCTACCATCCTATTTCCCTTAACCCAGTCTAGATCACCTTCCCAGCTACCATCCTATTTCCCTTTACCCAGCCTAGATCACCTTCCCAGCTACCATCCTATTTCCCTTAACCCAGCCTAGATCACCTTCCCAGCTACCATCCTATTTCCCTTAACCCAGTCTAGATCGCCTTCCCAGCTACCATCCTATTTCCCTTAACCCAGTCTAGATCGCCTTCCCAGCTACCATCCTATTTCCCTTAACCCAGCCTACATCACCTTCCCAGCTACCATCCTATTTCCCTTTACCCAGTCTAGATCACCTTCCCAGCTACCATCCTATTTCCCTTAACCCAGTCTAGATCACTCTCCAGATAACATTCTTTTTCCTTTAGAGATATATACCTTTGTCCTTTGCATCCTTTCCCTTGTCTTTGCCACCATCCTTGCCAGATTTGGAATCAGCTTTCTCTGTCTTGCCCTCCTTACTGGCAGACTCTTTCTCCGATTTGTCATCCTTTGCTGCTTCCTTAAACAATGTTGTTAGTCAGGTTATAGTTGTAAACACACTTAACCAACACACATTTTTATTTCTATCACATTACAATGTAGACTTTTAACTTGTAAAATCAACATTTTTTCTTAGTTATAATAATTACTTTTAAAATATATAAGATTTTTTTCTAAATTTTCCTAATTGTGCTGACTAACATAGACTTTATTCTTCATGAAAAAGAAATATTACAATAAAGATTCTTTGTGAAAGTCTGTATAGTATCTGGATGTAAACCTTAGATAACAATGATTACATACTGATGGAGCGGACTCCTCTTTTTTCTCAGCTTCCTGCTGTTCCAGCAAGGCTTTCTCCCACTCCTGGAGGGGAAGTTTCCACTCAGGCAGGGAGCCCTTCAACAGCTCCCATACCTCATGAATATGTCCATACCTACAAGGGGCAAAACAATATTCAAACATTTTCTGTGACATCTTGAAAACAAATCCAGAACTGTGGTTCATATCAAAGAAGGGCCATTGAAAGCAGCTGCCCGCAGCATGACAAACGGTTATACATATTATTGTAAAAATGTTAATGGTAAGTCAAGTATGGAGATGTTTGTTGACACAGAATAAGTTGAGGCAGAACATTATTTACATATCATACTTAGCTACAGAGAAATGTATATATTGAAAGTAAAATAAAGTAAAAACTAAAATGAATTAAACTGACAAAAAAAGACCATGGTTACAATCACTTACATATTTGGAATCTTGAAATGAAGATTTACAACAGAGATTATAATGGACAACATACTGGTAAATATGGTTATTGCAATCATCATGCTTATTAGTGACAACATCAAAATTAATGTCAGGCAAGATAAGAGTAGCACTTAAAGATTATAACAATGTCTGAGAAATTATAATGAATATCAACCGCTAATAATTTGTACTTTAAGAACTCAACACCATACTTGGAACATTTCTCTGTGTGTTGATTTTGATGAACCATTGAATTTGTTCACATTATGTGGTAATAACCTTTGAATTCATGTACTTTGGTAAATATTATATAGACTATAAACCCACTCAGATAATAAGGCAAAGCAGCAATCAAAATTCACAGAATTAGTTATTAACAGTCAAGGCAAATCAGGACCCGAATATTATTTCAAAATTTCAAAAATCTGATTTTCAAAAGTATTAATAGTAAAAATCATCTGTCATTAGAAGTCAACAAAGTTATCTAAGGTATTTTAGTCACAAGATTGTATTCACATCATCACCAATATTTTATCTGCAAAAAATATACAAGTATTCTGTATAAAACACTACCACCACAAATAGGCATCACACCCAATAGCCCACACTACACGCCTGGCTAAACACACGCTACTCCAATGAGATCCTTGCCTGAGATCATGTGAGGTGGACTTTGAGCTCTTTACCCTAGGAGCTGTTGTACTCCCTTCCTCAGAGCGTGGCGTGGAGCTTAGCTGGAAATATTTATCAAGCACCTGGCTAGCGGACACTAACGGTGAGGCGCAGCCTGCCCCCAGAGGGTTGACGGGAGGAGGAAGGGGTGTGGCCAGGAAACCCCTGTGTGAGTAGACGAGTGGTCAGCATGCAAGAAAACACAAATACTGACCACACAAGCCAATGAGGCTCTGGTCAGCTGTGACAAGCAAAATCAGAGAGTGCTGGTTAATGATGGAGAAACAATGAATAGACTGAGGCCACGTCTGTTCTACTATCAACTACTTATAACTTATAACTACCAGATATCTGTGGCATAACCCAATAACTAACTACTATCATAAAATACCTTACTGTGATATAACCTGATAACTGATTTATGGAGAGGTATTTTCTCACCTCTTTTATTACTGATTAATACTGAGTCACTTCAGTAATTATTGTATCATTCAAAAAAAGTCAATAGATTCAAAACTGGAGAAAAGATTGTGAACAACATTGATATGTGAATCCCAAAATACGAGAGTGTGCTTAATATTTAATTTTGACAAACAATAAAACAGGATATACATTGTAAATTCTGTGAGAAAAACCTCCTGGGGAAATTCCAAGGGACAGTATGAATATCTGGGAAAATCTGCCTATCTCCAGAAAGGTGGCAGGTATGAACTTAATTGTTTATAGTAATATATGTACATCAGTAATAGAATCTATAATTTTTGACAATGCTTTTGTAGAATTAAAACATTTGGGAGGTCCCCTGACAATTTGTAATTTGCTATATTTACCCATCTGATTTTTTATATGACTTATTTTTATCTGAACGTCTATTTGAGAGACTTTCATTGAGTTTTATCTTATTTTATAGGAATAACTTATCAAATTTATCTCATATGGAAGTGACCAGTATAAAGGAAACAATACAAAGTCACCTGAATGAAGTAAGCAGCCGTGGCCCAGAAAGTCTTGACACAATGACAAAGCTGACCAACATTAGTGAAGAGAATATTAATGTTCTGGACCAACACAAACATTTAATATAGGTAAATATATGGGAGACACCACAACACTAATATATCACATCTATAGAATATTGAAGCAGTCCTCTTGCTTTTACATAGCATAATCACATCTATTTCATAAATGAAGATTGAAGTGAAATCAATGGAAAATAAAAAGGTTGAAATTATTGCCAAAGTGATGTTAATGGTTAAATTCTAGAAAATTGAAAATTACTTTATAGACAGAAAAATAGATTTGCTGTAATTGTTATTTGAAGTATAAGTGTGTAAGATGGCCATACAACTGTTGTGTTATGGTCTGGGCACAGAGAGCATATCATGGCTATTGATAACAGCGTTCTCTCTGAAAGTTCATTGAAAACAGGAAAACCAAGCCCATGGACTAGCAATTAACACAGGAATCAATAGTTCACTATGTCTCTCTGTGGACCAGACACAAACTAGAGTTAAATATTCCTAAAAATGATCTGTATCAAAAGAAAATACCTTTGGTTATTTTTTTCAGATTGTATTAAACGTTAACAGTATCAAAAATTATTCTGCAGGTTTAAATGAGCTGTTTGGCCATCACAGAGAAATCACAAATCACCCAGGGTATCTGTGTACAGGTTCAGCATTGTCCAGTGTGGACAGTGGTATATATCTTCATAAACAGAGTTAATACTTACTGGAGGGGGATGGATTCTGGTATCCAGCCTGTCAGACATTGTATGATACTGCAGTCTCCAAACTCACTGCTAGGGCTGCCTCCAGTGTAACTATGTACAACAATAACAGAGTGTTCATTTGTACAAGGAGGAGGTTTACATAATTACAGTCTATGATAAAACACTGACATATTAATTGATTACCAGGTATTATTACAGAACAATACTATTACAGCTACAGGGAAACATCAATCTGTTTATTCAAATATCAGAGATCTTGAAACATAATCACATAATGTCAGGGGTTAAATTGAGAGTATATTGATACCTGTTTGTAAACTTTGGTGGAATATATAACTTGAGATTCAAAAATGTTGGCAACATAATAACCTGGTGTTAGTGTTATATTCAAAGATCAATTTTCCCAGCATTATTCCATTACATATTCTACCACAGCACAAAATCAAGTGAAATCATTTCTTTAATATTTGTTTTGTTCCCTTAGTTTTTTTTTATATACTGAAGCAAGTCAAACATCGAAGTAAAAAATATTATCATTGGTAAAAGACTTTTTTATATAAAAGTATGGAAATTCATATTCCAGTGTACAGTAGTGATTAGAGGAGATGCACATTCAGAATTGTTAATCTTGTTAGAGTTCCCAGAAGACCAATAAAACCGATTTGGCTTGCTTCAAAAGCTGCCTAATACAGTACGTACTCGAGAGAGGCCACCTTGATGAGGGCCTTTGTGAGAAGTAATGGCCAGAGTTCGTGTTGGTTTGTAGTTGCAGGCAGTAGGAGGTTTTCGTTCTCGTCAACAGGTATCTGATCATCAATGAGGATTTTTCTCCACACACCCTAACAAAGTTATTTTAGAGTCAGTGTCCTCCAGACTTAGCAGGTATATTTTGTACTGAAAATTGTTGTCTTTACTTATTGCTAGCCATATCAATTAAACTTTTATCTTTTTAGAAATGTAAAGTCTGTAATCAATTTCAAATGATAAAACACCTAAATGAAATTGACATAGGTATTTCTTTTCAATAACATTGAAATGAATTAAGAAATTAAAGTGAGACATGAATTTCAGTTTACAAAAGAAAATGTAAGGCACTTATTTATACTCACCATCCAGTACAGCCGCACAGCATACTTGCCATACGAGTTGTATGGTGGTATGTGTGGCCCCTTCACCACCTTATTGACAGCATATATGTGTTCCCAGGGCCGCCAGGAGTGGGAAATCTCTTCATACGGAACTGAGGGGTCAGCCTGTTCCGGGGGAGGGTTTTGAACTGCACTAGTCTCCCACAGAAATGTGATCTGACTAATGATGAATCTCATCAACTGGATGACAAACAAACAGATGCTGGTAAGTGTTATACTCAACTAAATACAGACATTCAGCAGAAATGTCAAGTTCAGTGATAGGTGAAAAAATAATCAGTGAGACTACATGGTACCACAAAGTAACAATCTCCAATAGGAAAGTTGCAAAATAGAAGATAATTATTAGTTGAGACAGACATCTCCCTTCCTAACTCTGTCGTGTAACACTGAAACTTAACAAGTAATTCTACCAGATTTCTAATTCTCTATGATTGACTGTTTCTACATTGAAGTTTTGGTATTCAATAATGAAATCAGCTTTACATTTAGCAATATTCAAAGAAAATCCTGACAACTCAGACTAATAGAATCACAGAAACACTTTACAGAAAGTCTGCAGTCTGTAAAGATACTGCCAACATCTTCTTGGTTCATAATGACACAGAGATACAGTAGATCTCCACAAATCTTTTTTCAATACTTTCACTTACAACACCTTTCAAGTTAACACAAGTACATTTAACTGTTTTAAATCACATTTGATCTGTTGACAAATAAATTTTCTTCTGGGTTTTGTGTCTCGATATTGTTTTCTTTCACAGGGATTTTGATATATTGGATGCAAAAGTTCACAGACATTTACTACATAATCCAAATATTGATTTCTAACAAATTATCTCAGCAGAGATTGAGAAAATAAAGTTATAAGAAACACTGTGATGTGCAAATAGGATTTGACAAGCACCTGCTAACATTAATAACAAAGTGAGGAAAATCCAGTTTTACCGTTGACTTGTTATCAAGAGAAAACTGTTGCCATTACTGTCAAACTAAAGCCAGTAATGATCATTGGATACAGCCAGGCACCTGAACGACTGGCTGTACAGCCACAACACGCAGGCTCAACTGATCAATACAGTCGCTACCTGCTGATTAATGGTCATAGAAAATCAATGGCATTCAATCTCTAGCAAAACGCTAATTGTGGCTGTATATTTAACGATACACAATGACCCGACAAACTGGTCAACTAAACCAACAAACTACTCTATTGAGGGTCATTATAACTTGAAGGAACATTAATCATTGCAGTTTAGTCATAAATATCTACCTTACAATGACACACCTTCGACATAACACTTCATATAAAGACGTGAATAACGACCTTAAAATAAAAATACCTTTGACATACCTCTTGAGATAAAGACAATCATCTACCTTACAATGACACACCTTTGACATATTTGTTGAGATAAAGACATAAATATCTATGTTATAATGACACACCTTTGACATATTTGTTGAAATAAAGACATAAATATCTACGTTATAATGACACACCTTTGACATATTTGTTGAGATAAAGACATAAATATCTATGTCATAATGACACACCTTTGACATACTTGTTGAGATAAAGACATAAATATCTATGTTATAATGACACACCTTTGACATATTTGTTGAGATAAAGACATAAATATCTATGTTATAATGACACACCTTTGACATATTTGTTGAGATAAAGACATAAATATCTACGTTATAATGACACACCTTTGACATACTTGTTGAGATAAAGACATAAATATCTACGTTATAATGACACACCTTTAACATACTTGCTAAGACAAAGACATAAATATCTACCTTATAATGACACACCTTTAACATACTCTATGCGATAAAGACATAAATATGTAACTTAACAATGAAAACACCTGTTACATACTTGTTAAGATACAGACATATATATTTATTCTACCTTAGGAAGTATCCCAGCTGAAGAAAGATATCTTGTCATCTAAAGTTTAGTATATCTGACCTAGAGGATCAAATGTACCCGGCATGTTGTGTTCTTTGCCTGTCTGTGTATAGACATACAAATATCGAGACCTGTTATCCTAGATTATAATGATGTCTAACTGTTATCAATAATCCATGTACAGCAGGAGAAAGCACCTTATGACATGAACATCACAGAGAACTGAGAGTAAGATGGTAAGAGGCTTACATTTGACAATAAGACAGTGCATACCCCATTGTCTCAACTAAGCTTTGCAGCATGTGTTTGTTGGGGGTCTTAGCTAGGTCACAGGGTGACCAAAGGAAACAGTCTAAAGCTACTGTGGTTAGATGCTGCTGTACATTACAAGGATAGGTCAACCAGGAATTATACAAGCTATGGTAGGCTGAAGTAAGCTAAAGAACTCATGCTTCACTTGTGAAATCTCCTGACAAACAAGGAGACTATTTCTTTTTCCTAGCTTTGTTCTTTGATAAGGATATTATTGTAATTCAGTTGACCAGGATAGGGATAAACAAGCTTAATTTGCTGGGAAACTGATGAACAGATTGGAACACTAACCTCACTGTGGTGAAGATGTTCATTAGCTTTGATGAGATCAAAGTCTCCCAGGCAGTCCTGGTCCACTACCACTGGTGTCTGTAACAGCAAATACAAGGTTCATAGATTAGTACCACCAGATATTTGAGTACATTTCTTCATACAGGTGAAAACAAAGTGATATATGGTAAGAGAATTGTTTTTCCCCCAAAGAGGAATAATTGCAAATGGAACAAGATCTAAAAATTAAATCCCTTCAAAAGATCTCTATTTTCTATTAAGATACATGAATTATCTGCCAATATCTATAAATAAAGTATACCTTTCAATTAAAAAAAAAAATTACCTTTTCTGTTATGTAGTCACAAGGGCGTTTCCAGTAGTGAGTCTTGAGGGACGGTGGCATGTCAATCCGTCCATCAGGATCCTCGTACAGGTGTGTGGCCTGCCAACACATAGATAAATAGATATAGACTTTCATCTACATTCATTGGGTGGGGCATTGGGGGATGGGCTGCATTGAAACAAAATGAATGTAAAGATGTATATAAAAAACCTGTCATTAAACTATAACAACACTTTAGATATGATCTCACATACTGTTTAATGGTCACAGAACATCTAGTATCTAGCTAAATAAGTAGCCATAGGGGTAAAAACAGAGGTGTATCGGTATTCAAGTTCATCAATATTTTGACAATTTTAAAACTACATGCTTCTCTTAGACATATTTACAATTTAAAGTTCAAAACATTTTTAGAATTGATATTCATTTCAACTTCATATCAGAACTATTAAAGGATATTTTGGTTTGTTTGGGATTTCAAGTTCCTTCAACAGTCAATGTCATATGAAGATGATGTCAACACAAGACGTGATGATCTAAAGACACTTTTATAACTAATGCAGTCACACTGAAATGTCATAACCTGGAGACAGTAGAATGACAATCCATCCGGTCTCATTATATTCACAAACAGCTAACAAATTTACAGCTGTCTTCTTAAGTGTCAAGCAGAGAGCAGAAAAAACTAATTTTATAAATGTTGGTTTGTTCTGGTCAGCAGATAGCATCCATAACCTTCCTTGCTTGGATTGTCGTATCACTGCAGAGACCAAGATCAATGTTTTGACGAGTTAAAAATAAGGAATGGTTCAGCTAGATGATCTAGGAGGAAGGAGGAAAAAGTTGTAGATCTAAAATTTGGCTACCTCCTTTGATAATGCAATAAGGACAGCAGGTCAGTACCTTCACCCTACATACAGAAATAGTGTACACATACCAATCTTATTGAACAAGAAGAGCAGACACTAATTAATGGTAAGGCAATTGGGTGAAGGTTATGTAGGCATAAAAACTTACCACAGGAGATTTACCCTTGTCCTTGGCTCCACCTTTGTGGGCGACATCCTATGTGAATAGAAAGGATCAGCACTTAGTCATTCACATTACTCTTACCACCTTTCAACACGCAACTTATTTATTAGCACATAATCTTCTTCTTTTTAAATATTTGAACTCAAACCTTCCCTTTCCTGAATTGTATAAAAAAAAAATCCATATATTCAATCAAGACTTCAATTCTTAATCAATTTTATTCCACATGAAAGACTCAGACAATATCACAGAATATGATAACCAACAACAACAGCTATATAGAAAAGAGCCACTGATGTATCTAATTGCCAGCAAAATGGATACATGTCACCATCAGGTAACTTTCAGTCTATACATTAATCAATATCTAATGCCAGAGGCAAACTGTCAGCAAGGAAAACCATTTATTTTCTTTCAAAAATCAACATTGATGTTTCAATTGCCAAAAGCAACATGATTTAGCACAAGCTGTTTCAAAACAGTAATACACTAATTACAAGCTATCAAACTACATGCACTGAACACAACTTTGTACAATATCGTAACAGCAGTACATCTCTTTTCACTATACCCAAGCTATTAGTATACTCACCCATTTTTCTGCATTGACATCGACTTCACTCCATTCCGGCCAAATGACCAGTTTGGGCCTTTTGGAGTCTGCCCCACCAGCACTAGCCGCTATAGATGCAGCCCTGAAATGACACAAGGAAATAACACTATTAGCATCTCAAAGCAAATGTACCATGGCACTGCATAATATACATCCATCTTCTGCCAAAGACATAGACACTGTTTCCGTATTAAAATGTATACAGATATTGAAATAAAACAGTATTGTATGATCAAAATACCACTATATTAAAGCACAATACTCTGTCATTATAACAAGGTCTACAAAGCTTGAACAAAATCATTTGTGATTTCAAGGACAGGATTTTCAAAGACAACATAAAAAAGCTGAAAGGAATAGAGAGCAACTCCTTTTACAAAACTTGCTGCATCAAAATTCCAAAACAGTGAGCTAGATGTTGGAGATAATAAAGCATCCCAAGTTTAAATGAATTTGGCTGAAAACTGAGTAAAAGGGGTTTTTAGACAGTATCAAAATGCTTTATAAACCACACACAAAACAGGCAATAACCCCAACCCCCTTACCAAAACAAAAGATTCAAAAAATGTTGTCCAGGGAAACACATTTCATTTCACAGCAATAAAGCTAGCTAAAAGTGCAAAAGAGGTCAATTGAAAACTGATTGAGGAGATCTCCAGACAAGATTACTGGTAAGTTAATAAAGAAAAGAGAAAAAAGGGAAAATATATACATATGTATATATATCAAGGCCCATTGGCCACTTCTCTGGTATTTCTGGTATAAACATTTGTGTTTGTTATTTTCATCATATCTCAGGCTGAGATTAATGAATAATAAAGGTGATATTTCAGTTGTATATACATTTAATAAACATGATTTATTTTCAAAATGTCAAAAGTTAACAGACATATTTTTCTACAAAAGTTGGCAACATGAGTTTGAAAATAATAAAGCTTTCTACTACTGTTTATTTTAAAAAGATTTGTTATGTACATTTGAAGAAAAAAAAAGTACATAAATACAGCATGGCTATTTAACTAGAATTTCTTCACTTTAGCTTTTACAAAGAGATGCAGTCTCCCATACATCACTGTGTTATAATTATATCTCTTTGACTATTAAACTAAACTGCTGTCAATTATCTATCTAACTCTCTTCAATTAAATTTTGAAATTTCATCAGATTCCTGGTATTATGTATTCTTCTGGAAACATAAAAATTAATTTCTACTTAAAATTAGCTAGAAAACAATAATGACAATGTACAGAAATCCTTCCTAATATAAAACTGATTTTTTTTTAATAATCATACATGTATATCTTATCTATACAAACACAATGGAATATAAATATACAACACCCAAATAAATAATAGTGATGAACACAGTGTACATTCACACATTGATGCATGTTAGTATATTGTTTTGACATCTATAACTTAATAAAACAATTAATACCACATACTGATATAACATCAATTACAAACATGTTAGTTACATCCAAAATTATACAGTCAATTAAATAATTCTGTCACAGCAGAATAAAAAAGAAATCAAAATACCTTTTGTTGTATTCAGATAAAGGCAATACAAAGAATTCACTGATAGCAGAACATAATATACTGTGATATTATCAAACAAAACCAGCATTACCTGTCCCCCTGTAGGCACATTTTTGTCAAAGAGCAAACCGAACCCCACCATGGTACATGACAAACATCCAGATGACACACCTATACACATCCAGAATCAGCTGCTACATCAGTTCTAACAAAATTTATCTAGGATTTGGAATACCAAATATACAATGTTAGCAAGTAAACCTAGGTCTGCCAGGTCGACCAGCTTGATGTATGAGTGGAGCATACCTGGCTACCAGGTATTCACAAATCAATAGCCCTTACGGTGATAAGCCTGGCTGGGAGATTCATTGTTCCCGCAGCAGAATAATTATCAGTATGATGATGGAAAATTGCTTCAGTCACATGGTCCAGGGTAAATCTACCCTTCCCTTATCCCCTTAGTTCTGGGGTTCCTGTCAAAACAATTTCTTATCTCCGTATTTCATTGATCAACTGGAAATCCACTTTATTCCAAAGTAATTATCACATATCTGACTTTTAAATAATTCACAATAAATTAAAAATCAATATTTTCCAATCACAATATTTTTTGACCTGTGTAAAAAATATGTTACACTGTTTATGACAAATTGATTTAATTCCAGCTGAAGCTACATATGCATTAATATCCACAGATTTATAATTTACTATTGTCATTTTATCAAAAAGTAGGGGAGAAACACTGATAAAATCCTGTAAATATTTAAATATTAATTGGTTGTCAATATCATTATAGTATCATTGATTGAGGAAACCTTGACTCATTGTGATATTATCCATGGATTCAACACATTTTTACTTATTTTACATTCAAAAACAGGATCTCTGCACAGATATATACCCAGTCTAGCACTGCTTTCCAAAAATTAAGAAAAACCAGATATACCTTCTCAGTTTTCTAATTTATGCTGTACATCTCAGAAAAAAAATTAAGTCTCAGAAATAAAAAAGAAAAGCAAAAAAAAAATTTCTTATAGACTTGCCATTAACATTACAAAAAAACATAAATATAGATGTGGCCTAGAAATGGAAGGATGAAGTCAAATCGATGCTTTATACAAACAACTGTATAAATTACCTCAGATGTTTTAAAGGTTAATTCAGTGACAAGTAATATGTCAACACTATACAATCATTCAGAAGAAATATCAAAAGATCAAAATCTAAAATTTTGTACCTGGATATTTGACCATATGCTGAGTTCCTGTTAACTGATGACCAGTCCATGGACAGCTGGTCAACAATTCAAACCAGGTATAACACTGACCACAGGTACAGTAGATAATGATCTGACCGATGTCAGATAAAGTAGGAGGTGTGATACTGGATGGTGGAGCCAACAGGTTCATTACCAGTCACTGCATCTGTCTTGACATTCAACTGGCCATAAAGTTGACTATAAATTATGTATAAAGTTATCACCAGGTATCCACCTGAACAGTCACCTTGTTACCATGCCACCTGTCGGGGGAGGTAGTGGACAACAAGGTTCATTTCACTCTCTCTTATTGTTGAGAAGGAAAGTGAACAAGGGGTTTGAAAAAACAGTACTTCACCCACAGTGTGCTGTAGAATAATTTATGTGTGTACCATACAAGACATTTTTCAAAGAATGAAAGAGAACTTCAAAACAAAGGACCACCTCAATCCAAGTCTCCACAATGAACAGTGAACATACATCAAGTATGTCATACTTATATATACAGACAGGTATAAAACTCTTGGGGAAAATACTTGCTGAAAGTGGTACTTAGACAGTCAAACAAAGAAAAAAATAGACAAAAGTATTTCCTGGTACAAATATGGCATAAAAGAAGATATTCCATGCATAGGTGAGTTTTTCAATTCATTTTTCTTTTGGTAAAAAAAAAAAGCTCTCGGCATTATACTCTACAATACATATATGTACCACAGACTGCTGCAAGGGTGGTATGACTGCAATAAAACCTTGGCACATGGTCAGTATCAGAGCCAGGGAAGGGAATCTGAACAGTGGACAGTACTGTCTGGACATACAGTCAGTATCCTGTCCTAATGTACAGTACTGTCTGGACATACAGTCAGTATCCGGTCCAGAGGATGGGAATCTGAACAGTGGACAGTACTGTCTGGACATACAGTCAGTATCCGGTCCAGAGGATGGGAATCTGAACAGTGGACAGTACTGTCTGGACATACAGTCAGTATCCTGTCCAAAGGATTGGAGTCTAAACAATGTACAGTACTGTCTGGACACACAGTCAGCGTCAAGTCCAAAAGATAGGAATCTAAACAGTGTATTGTACTGCCTGGAAATACAGTCAGTATCAAGTCCACAGGACAGGAATATATGGACACATGGCCAGTTTCATGTCCTAATGTACATTACTGTCTGGACATACAGTCAGTATCTGGTCCAGAGGAAGGGAATCTACACAATGTTCATTTTCATCAGTCAAGTCTGGATACAATATCTGTATCTGATTCACTAGGACAGAAATTTTAACAGTGTACACTACTGTCTGGACACATGGTCAGTATCAGGTCAAGAGGTTGTGAATCTAAACTGTTAACTCAAGTACTATCTGACACACAGTCAGTATCTGGTAGAGGATGTGAATATAAGGAGTCTACAGTATGGTCTGACACACAGTCAGTATCTGGTAGAGGATGTGAATATAAGGAGTCTACAGCATGGTCTGGACACACAATCAGTATCCAGACCAGATGATGTGAATATAAGGAGTCTACACTATGGTCTGGACACACAATCAGTATCTGGACCAGATGATGTGAATCTAAGGAGTCTACACTATGGTCTGGACACACAATCAGTATCTGGACCAGATGATGTGAATATAAGGAGTCTACAGTAAGGTCTGGACACACAGTCAGTATCTGGACCAGAAGTTGTGAATCTAAGGAGTCTACACTATGGTCTGGACACACAGTCAGTATCTGGACCAGATGATGTGAATATAAGGAGTCCACTATGGTCTGGACACACAATCAGTATCTGGACCAGATGATGTGAATATAAGGAGTCTACACTATGGTCTGGACACACAGTCAGTATCTGGACCAGATGATGTGAATATAAGGAGTCTACACTATGGTCTGGACACACAATCAGTATCTGGACCAGATGATGTGAATATAAGGAGTCTACACTATGGTCTGGACACACAGTCAGTATCTGGACCAGATGATGTGAATATAAGGAGTCTACAGCATGGTCTGGACACACAATCAGTATCTGGACCAGATGATGTGAATATAAGGAGTCTACACTATGGTCTGGACACACAGTCAGTATCTGGACCAGATGATGTGAATATAAGGAGTCTACACTATGGTCTGGACACACAATCAGTATCTGGACCAGATGATGTGAATATAAGGAGTCTACACTATGGTCTGGACACACAGTCAGTATCTGGACCAGATGATGTGAATATAAGGAGTCTACAGCATGGTCTGGACACACAATCAGTATCTGGA